GGGAATTTGATCCCGGGATTCGATCAATTTTTCTATGATATTCAAGATATTTTATAACCCCCTTTTTACATTTCTCAGGAGTCCAAAGAGAGAGAGAGAAAAAAACCCACCCCCTTTTTAAAGAAATCTCCGGGTGAAAAGTCAAACACACCCCCCTTTTTTTTTACAATTCTCGGGCCGGATTTTGTCGCGCGAAAAAATACCCCTTTCCTGGAGATTTTAGGAACGTGCATGCGGTCCCTCCGACCCCGGAGTGTGTGTGTGGGGGGGGGGGGGGGGGGGAATGAAGACTGAAGTTCCAGACCTGGCATGTTCAAGACTTACAGTGGCCGTTTGTCTCTTCAGTTATTTCAAGGTAAGCCTGTACACATTCTTATTATTTTTATATTTGAGAAAGGATTTGGCTGAGGAAATTAAAGAATTCATTAGATTTAAATAATAAACAAAGTACATGTATCATTATATGAATTCCAGAAACATTTTTTAAGAGGTGTGAAAACTGTGAACGCATCTGATTGAGAGTGATAAATAATACGGTAACTGTTGCATTGCCCAAGTCCTACTCGGTGGTTGTCATTTGTTCACACCTAAAACTTAAGGGACGAGGGGATGATATTTAAGGGCTGCAATGCATGTGATGTTTGTGTAGGTCTATAATGAATGAATTAATTTGTTGTTTATATTAAATGAATTGAATTGAATTAAGATAAATAGGGCTTATTAAGAGTCGAAAACGGTGCAACGAATCGTCTTCTTTCTATTATGCGGCCAACAAACTAGGCATTCCTTAGCCTATAATCTAGGCGGAGTGCCGAGCTTTTTTCTTTGCTGCTAGACTAACCCTAAGCAGAACGTCTGATACGGCGAGACTACGAACCGTGAGTCGCGAAGCGGCTCACCGCCTATAATCACTGGTCTAGCTTTAGTCGTTGTTTTTTTTTATTAGGATCGACGACGAATCCGTGGCAGTTTTTCGTACGAAAAAACCTCATGAATACGAAATGAACTCAACCAATCAGAAACACGTATGGAGAAGAGTCTATGCGCAATCTTTTTTCGTTGCGGTTTCTTATATCTGATTGGTCGAACGTAACATAGTTGTACCTTATTTGGTAGGGCTGTTGAATGATTCATAGATCCGCCATTTTGAATATATATGAATATTGATTAGCTAAACCAGTGATAGGCGGTGAGCCGCTTCGCGGCTCACGGTTTGTAGTCTCGCCGTATTAGACGTTCTGCTTAAGGTTAGTCTAGTAGCAAAGAAAAAAGCTCGGCACTCCGCCTAGATTATAGGCTAGTGCCACTTACGTTTCTTAACTAAGCTTATTGTACATCAAACTAAAGAAAACTATACTTGAACTACGGAGATCATGAAAGGAGAATAGAAAAGTAGAAGGGCTCCACGTATGACATACTTTTTGGGGGAGAAATATTGCAAAGTAATGCGATCACTATTTGTATCAAGCAATAATTACCACAAAATAATGAATGAGTTTTCAAAAAGAATTTGTCTCGACTTTGTCTCTTGTAACTTACAACTGACCTTAATTAAATATGCGTTTCATATTATAATATATCATTCTCCATACCATAAACATTTGTCTATGATTTATGTTACTTTATAGAGCCTATATCTGTAGTTTTCCCTGGTCATTGGTTTATAACAATCTTAGCAACAATATACGGCAGGACTGATCTAATTGGATTGACTTATGATTTTTTTTTTGTCTAGTTTTTGAGGAAAATGTTCGCAACGACTCAGTCAGCAAGAGAATAAGCGGGGGAGGGGGGGGGGGGGGGTAAGGGCACATCTTTCTTGCCATCTTTTAGCGCCTGGGTGCATTAATGACTGAACATACACAATGTAACATATGCGTACGAGTCCCTCACGCCGACATTCAGATACAGCCACATACAAAAATGCCAACCCACCCACCCATACACAACTCCCCACACGCACACCCACAAAAACATGCATACACATCATAAGTAAACGCTGTACCCCAAACCGTTTAAACAGACAAGGCAGACACTAAGCTTGATTATCTCATCGAGTCGACTTGTTATCTCAACATTGCAGGGGAGGGGGGGGGGGGACTTCAAATTTTAATCGTTTCATAACTGTAATCCCCCCAAACAGATGATCTAAATTTGAAAATATCCATGGTCACATTTGGGTGCTCATAAAGGAAATGTGTATCATGTTTGCTCACGCTTAGTAAATATTTCAGTATCACCAAGTGCTATCAATTCAATCATTTGTAAATAACCTACTTGCATCATCAAACGATAAGCTTACAGTAATGTTGGTATACACAAATCACGAGTAAGTTGACACGTACATATTTCTATTGTTAGCAATTCAGTTTTCATTTCATATTTGAAAGAAAGAGAAGAAACAGGATAGAGACACACAGAGAGAAAAAAAATGCTTTTACATATTTTTTAAAATCTGTTATGTCATTAAACATGTGTGGTACACTTTATAGCAGTCAGCTTGCCTTGCACTGGTGAGTGTCAAAAGTGCAGGAAAGAGAGAAAGATACAGAGATCATATAAATGATCATAATGCTCTTTCTCTAGAACAATTATGTACAAGTTATACACCGAGGGTTAAAAAAAAAGAACTATTGGTTGTTCCATGTGTGTGGTACATTCTACTAAGTGATCTAATTACATGAACAATAGACATGCTATCACAATAAACATAAATGAAATAAACACTTGCCCACACTTAAAAACATTACATTGTAAAGGGAATATACAAGACAACTTCATTTTAAAGAAATGTATGTTGACGTATATTCAAATGTTATACACATGTTAAAAGGGTGATATACTTGTAAGACAAGAACGTGTTTACCCATGCTTCAAAAATAATGATGACTGCCTTATTTTGGAATGATATTGTCGAATTGAGAGACTTGTTTACTTAGTTACCAATTAAAGGCTAATACCAAATAAAAGTCCTTACAAATTCATGCCTCTTTTATTAATCAGTTATCAAAACTTATGCTTTTCAGAAACCCCTCTGCATGCTTTTTGATAATCGGCCTATTTTTAAGTGATTTATGAACACCTTCAATACAACTGCAGGATAAGATATCAGTAGATACACAGTATGGGACTGCGATAACCAACAGACCTTTGATAACCTTGGAATTTATTATACATAATTAGTATCAAACCTTGTTTATGGGGAAAATATTTTACTGTGAGCAACAATATACTGTTGAAACTATAATAAACAGAGACTTTGAATCTTTGAATACAAATATTCGAACAAGTGAAAGAAAATTGAAACATTAAAAAAAAAGGGGGAATAAAAGAAATTAAACACGCAAAGGCAACAATTGCAAAACAATTTACCTATTCCACTTTTTGGAACATTAACAATCTGAATGTAAGAGTGTCCCAAAAATATGGGTTGAGCCTAAGTTAAATGGGTTATGTTTATAAATTGATTCAAAAGTTGTCCTGGTTTAGAAATAGTTAAAGGATATAGTATTAGATAATTGTGTGATCCACCAAGATAATAATTAGTATAAATCAAGATTGGATTATTTAATACAATGCACACACACTCAAACACACACATGTGAAATAATTTGAAGGTTGATTAGTTCTTTTACTTTCTTTCCACGTACCAGACAATTATATAAACATTAAATCTAAACCCAAAGTGCTTCTAAAATGAAATTGATTTGCAAAATTATGACATAGTTCAAAGAATAAAAGATATTCTATGAATTTGTAAAAGTGATATAGACATTGATTTAGAATTTTCAGAACATAATTCTTTGATTACACTCGATAAGACAATAAAGTTTTTGTGTTCAATATTTTCCTGTAATTGTGAATAATAGTTTGTTCTTGTGCCATTTACGTTTCTCTACTAGGCTTATTGTACATCAAACTAAAGAAAACTATACTTGAACTACGGAGATCCCGAAAGGAGAAAAGAAAAGTAGAAGGGCTCCACGTATGACATACTTTTTGGGGGAGAAACATTGCAAAGTAATGCGATCATTATTTGTATCAAGCAATAATTACCACAAGATAATGAATGAGTTTTCAAAAAGAATTTGTCTCAAATTTTTCTCTTGTAACTTACAACTGACCTTAATTAAATATGCGTTTCATATTATAATATATTATTATCCATACCATAAACATTTGTCTATGATTTATGTTACTTTATAGAGCCTATATATGTAGTTTTCCCTGGTCATTGGTTTATAACAATCTTAGCAACAATATACGGCAGGACTGATCTAATTGGATTGACTTATGATTTTTTTTTTGTCTAGTTTTTGAGGAAAATGTTCGCAACGACTCAGTCAGCAAGAGAATAAGCGGGGGGGGGGGGTGGGGTAAGGGCACATCTTTCTTGTCATCCTTTAGTGCCTGGGTGCATGAATGACTGAACATACACAATGTAACATACGCGTACGAGTCCCTCACGCCGACATTCAGATACAGCCACATACAAAAATGCCAACCCACCCACCCATACACAACTCCCCACACGCACACCCACACAAACATGCAGACACATCATAAGTTAACGTTGTGCCCCAAACCTTTTAAACGGGCAAGGCAGACACTGAGCTTGATTATCTCGAGTCGACTTGTTATCTCAATATTGCAGGGGGGGGGGGGAACCTTCAAATTTTAACTGTTTCATAACTGTAATCCCCCCAAACAGATGATCTAAATTTGAAAATATCCATGGGCACATTTGGGTGCTCATATACGAAATTTGTATCAAGTTTGCTCACGCTAAGTAAATATTTCAGTATCACCAAATGCTATCAAATCAATCATTTGTAAATAACCTACTTGCATCATCAAACGATAAGCTTACAGAAATGTTGGTACACAGAAATCATGAGTAAGTTGACACGTACATATTTCTATTGTTAGCAATTCAGTTTTTATTTCATATTTGAAAGAAAGAGAAGAAACAGGATAGAGACACACAGAGAGAAAAAAAATGCTTTTACATATTTTTTTAATCTGTTATGTCATTAAACATGTGTGGTATACTTTATAGCAGTCAGCTTGCCTTGCACTGGTGAGTGTCAAAAGTGCAGGAAAGAGAGAAAGATACAGAGATCATATAAATGATCATAATGCTCTTTCTCTAGAACAATTATGTACAAGTTATACACCGAGGATTAAAAAAAAGAACTATTGGTTGTTCCATTTGTGTGGGTACATTCTACTAATTGATCTAATTACATGAACAATAGACATGCTATCACAATAAACATAAATGAAATCAACACTTGCCCACACTTAAAAACATTACATTGTAAAGGGAATATAAGACAACTTCATTTTAAAGAAATGTATGGGGACGTTTATTCAAATGTTATACACGTGTTAAAATGGTGATATACTTGTAATACATGAATGTGTATACCCATGCTTCAAAAATAATTATGACTGCCAATTTGGAATGATATTGTCGAATCGAGAGACTTGTTTACTTACTTACCAATTGAAAGCCAATACCAAATAAAAGTCCTTATAAATTCATGCCTCTTTTATTGATCAGTTATCAAAATTTATGCTTTTCAGAAACCCCTCTGCATGCTTTTTGATAATCGGCCTATTTTAAAGTTATTCAAGAACACCTTCAATACAACTGCAGGATAAGATATCCGTAGAAACGCAGTATTGGACTGAGATAACCAACAGACCTTTGATAACCATGGAATATATTCTATGTAATTAGTATCAAACCTTGTATATTGGGAAATGATTTCACTGTGAACAACAAATCACTGGTGCTTGCTATAATAAACAGAGACTTTGAATCTTTGAATACAAATATTCGGACAAGTGAAAGAAAATTTGAAACATTAAAAAAACGGGGGGAGTAAAAGAAATTAAACACGCAAAGGCAACAATTGCAAAACAATTTACCTATTCCACTTTTTGGAACATTAACCATCTGAATGTAAGAGTGTCCAAAAAATATGAGTTGAGCCTAACTAAAATGGGTTATGTTTATAAATTAATTCAAAAGTTTTCCTGGTTTAGAAATAGTTAAAGGATATAGTATTAGATAATTGTGTGATCCACCAAGATAATAATTAGTATAAATCAAGATTGGATTATTTAATACAATGCACACACTCAAACACACACATGTGAAATAATTTGAAGGTTAATTAGTTCTTTTACTTTCTTTTCACGTACCAGACAATTATATAAACATTAAATCTAAACCCAAAGTGCTTCCGAAATGAAATCAATTTGCAAAATGATGACATGATTCAAAGAATAAAGAAATTCTATAAATTTTAAAAGTTATATAGACATTAATTTAGAACTTGTAAGGTGCTTTTTCGGACCAATAATTCTTTTGTTACACTCGATAAGACAATAAAGTTTTTGTGTTAATTTTTTTCCTGCAATTGTGAATAATAATTTGTTCTTGTGCCATTTACGTTTCTCTACTAAGCTTATTGTACATCAAACTAAAGAAAACTATACTTGTACTACGGAGTTCCTGACAGGAGAATAGAAAAGTAGAAGGGCTCCACATATGACATAATTTTGGGGGGAGAAATATTGCAAAGTAATGTCATCATTATTTGTATCAATTAATGATTACTACAAAAATATAAATGAGTTTTGAAAAAGAACTGCTCTCAAATTTGTCTAATGTAACTTACATCTGACCTTAATTAAATATTTGTTTTTATATTATCACATATCATTATCCATACCATAAATATATGTTTTTGATTTGTGTTACTTCATAGTTCCTATAACTGTAATTTTCCCTGAACCATTGGTTTATAACAATCTTAGCAACAATATACGGCAGGACTGATCTAATTGGATTGACTTATGATATTCTGTGAGAATTGAGATTTATATTGGGAAAAACACAAAATATCATATAAAATGTTTTGATTATCACAACCTTATTGAACAAAATTTAAAGCAAATTGAAAGAATAAAACCTAAAATGTCCTCAATATATTCTTTAGATTTTCTTATAAATTCATTAAAGTACTTGAAACAATTGACAATATATCTCTACAGAACTCTTTTGATTGACCCTCTACAGAATACGTGCAGTTTGGAACAATTACATTTTAATAAGCTTTTAATAGGCAGCAAGTTTTTGTAAAGGCTTAAATGGCTTAGTGTTGCTATGGCAGCGTATTGTGTTAAGCAGTGTCTGTGGTGTTCTACAGGAAAGATTCTTATTACAAGCTAAGATCACTAAGAATGATAAATTTCTAATGAATTAACAAGAAAGTACACATATTGCATCGGCAATGAGTCAAATCTAGGCTTGCAAAAGTGTAGAATATGAAGTGTTAAATTACAATTTTGAATAAATCTACTAAAAATCACATCTTGCTTCAGTGATGAGTAAAATCTAAGCTTGCAAATGTGTCAATAAAGAAGTGTTGGGAAAAGGGTACTTTGAGCTGTTTGTCGGTGCAGCCCGCTACAGAGCAAGCTTGAAAAAACGATTTAAAGATAATACTGGTGTATATATAAATCACAAACGTCTTCCGTTTTCTCAAGAAACAATATTTTGCACCATGAGGGTTCTTATTTGTTCCCTTACTCAATGGTGACGAAAGTAAGATAGTTCTTACAACAAACAAATTTGCGGGACCAGCCCTAGGATCTATATGGTATGATATATATATATATATATATATATATATGTATATATTTATATATTAAGCATCAAGCATCTCTTGTTCTCTCGTCCAATCAACGAACTTAATTAACCCTAAGCATCAATCATATGATGATGTCTTCACAGAGCAACAATATCTGCTTCAAAAAACTTCTTATCCTACTCTAAATATAGGCAGCAACAAAAAGAAAGTTTTGTTCATCAAAAACAAGAGGTCATAGGTCAATTTCAATAAAATAGTTACTCTTACAATTCTGAAATAAAATTATACACACAATAACAAATTAATCCATTCTTACTGCACTATCCAATAATGCATACGCTCATTGACACAACAAATTGCTACAAATTATGGCATCTAAATGATGCACTGTGAAGAGGGACTCGTAAATAGAAGTGTTTCCTACTTAGAATAGTCAATTAAAGCATAATTTCCAATATGGGTAGTATGAAATGAACAAAAATTGACATAAATAGAGATGCAATCTTGATTAAACGATATAAACTAAAAAGATAATTACACCGATACCATTGTTTGAGATCAATAAATAACAGAAATAAAATATTGTTTTGAAGAGAACGTGAGCACACACTATTCCAAGCTAAATTCAAATGACTGTAGAAAATAGATTATATACAAAGCTCCATTTCAAACTCTGGCCTAAGATTAAAAGGTAGATATGTACTACTTTCAGCTCAATGCCAACAGTGAGATTAATACATGTATATATAAGAATGTGACTTTTATATATATATACATATATATATATATGTATATATATATATTTATATATATTTATATATGATTAAAAAAAATACACGATACATGTTCCTTACACTAAGATCTACCAGTATGTACCAAATACAGTGATGTACGTGGCAAAAGTGCTGCAATTTTTTCATCGTCTTCAACAAGTGATGAAGGATTTTTCACAATTAATTGTGCAGAGATCATTCTGAAAATCATCAGAGATATATGTCACTACGGCAAATTAAGATAAGTATATGTATTATACATGGCCTATTACAACCATGCCACTTTTTGTATTCATCTAGTAGTCTTCCTCCAACCCAAAGTAGGATTTTCCTAACATACCGCATAGAGAGCTCTGTGCATTGTGACTTATCTTGTAAAATTTGACAGAGCTTAGCAATGTCAATGAAAGAGAATTTCAAGATTTTTTGACAGGCTGTCTCAATCAGGCATAGTAACTGATGATAAGAGGATCAAATTCCTGGAGGCTGGAGCAAGGATACTAGATGAATTGGAGGAGTGGCATAGAAGGTACATAACTCTAACTGCAGACAGAGGTTATTTCATGTTACTGAAGACAAAATTCACAGCATTGTGAAAAGTCGACAAAGAGAAGTGCTTCGCAATACAAAAGGACATTTTGGTTTATACCGAATAACAGCTAAATGGCTGATGTAAACCAACAGATCAACTCAACACCAAGTGATCTGCATGAACTGAAGATTAACATTTTGGCTGAGAGATCATTTAACATTCAAATTATGAGGAAAGGCTGTTTAAACTTGAAGGCTCAGGGTGAAAGATCATGGACATGAAATACTAAGCGAATCCAAGGACACATTCACTGAATGTTACTGACTACAAAATAATTGATGCCTGAAACATGATTTGATTGATTTTTAACAAGATATGGTGATAGTCAACTATTTAAGAGAAAAGGTGTCCCATGTGTGCAATTTAGTGAATAGGGTTTTCAGCAATTATTCGTCTTTTTCAAATCAGTTTGGTGGTCCAAATAACCCCCTTCAGATATGTGGACCCTGTTTTCAATATGACTGATCAAGTTACAACAACAAAATATCCATCTGAATTGAAGGTTCACTTCAAATGCATACGATTAACTTTGTAACTGATTTATCTCTTACACTGGTCGTTTTTAATTATGATGAGTTATGCAAAAGGTCAAGCCAAAACAGGACATGGCTGTTATATGCTTAAATTAACACCTAACAGAAGACATCATACTAATGTTTTAAATGCACACATTTCTTTCAACTTTCATTAAAAGGATACAGGGATTTGAAAACTGGTAAAAAAAATTCATAGAATGATTTTCCTCCAAATACTTAACAACTCTCAACAAATTTGGGAGAAGGGGTACTTCACATGTGTATCACTTGCACTTTTTAAGGTCAATAAAGTAAGATTTAATGAGCTCAAGTTGGAGAAGCCAAGAACATGATATTCTCACAAGGGGGAAAAAGGGATGTTACAATTCCATGGCTATACATCTTATACAATAGATGTATTTGATAAAGATTAATGTTATGAACACAATTATAGAAACCTCCATCTGCAGTTTAAGAAATGCTTTACCAGAACAAAATACAAAGCAAGAAAGGTACTTGATATCCAGAGAAAAACAAGAAGTGCTCCTCACTGAAAGCAAGAAAGCGAGAGATAAATACAATGTTCATTAGCTTAATCTCAAATTTGTCTTCAAAAGAGACCTCAGCGATCCTTACAGCACGCTTCTCCAAAGACGTGCACTTTTAAATTTCCATAAAATACAAAGTTAGTCACTGGCAGTACGCCAGTGGTCGAGAACGTAAAGGTCTGATCTAAAATCATTTGTGAGTCCAAATATGATACACCTGTCCTGTCTCGTGTTCTTTTCAGTTTCCTTGTACTTTTTTGTCTCGTCAGGAGTCAACAGTGGTTGCTCCGGTTCAGAAAAATTCTTCAAAAATTCTTGAAAAGCGTAAGACGTGTCTAGACCTGTAATCAAGGGTGGTTGTAGAAAGAAGACGGAAAAGCTTAGAAAGCCAAACAGACTTCTTCAATTAGACTTTCTTGGAGATACTTATGAGATAAATGATATTGGAAAACAAGGGGCAGGTAAGGTAGGTGATGGTTTGTTTCTCTCTTGCCAAGCTGATTTATTTTATGATCTGTCACTGAACAGAAAAGCTATTTAAATTATGAGGACAGGAATGCTTTGATGCTATCCTACCTCTTGAAAAGCAAAAGGACATTAAATCAGATCATGTCCTAAGCAGAAGGGATTAAATAAATGATGATCAAGGATGTTTTCAAATGAAATTTTGGGTAAATTTGCTTTATGGTGAAATTTCAGAAAACAGGTTAGTCAGCGTCCTATACTCTTTAAGTTCAGTAGACATCGTAATTTGGATATTTACAAACAAATAATGCATTATATATTCCCGTACAAAGGAAATCTCAAACTTCAAATCTTAATCACAAAGTGACACAGTGCTAGTATCTATATATTGTTGATCATCTAGTAAAATAACTTGTGAATCCTTTTTCCATCATGTCATTCTGCACAATTTGGTTAAAATTATTCAATAATCTTCAGCTAGTTTCTCTCTTTTTTCTAAATGTAAAGACCCTGTTTTTTAATATAGAAATGCAATTTGCATTCAATTATATACAATTTGCAGCCACACAGTGTTTATGACATTCTTTTGAATTTCAAGAACAAAATAAAAGCTGTTTCTCTCAAATATTGATCCAAAACAGACAAAGAGAACAGACAATAAGCACAGACTGCCCTGCTCATTCTTCATAAAATAAGAAATGAGGATTCGCAAGGCAAAAAGGAGCTATTGTGACAAGTTCTTTTAAGACCAAACACTTGAGCACAGCGAGATAGCGCTTCAAAACTTTATATTTTTTTTTACATGAGTTATATGAATATTAAAAAAACTCTGGCTGCTTTCTATACAAACGTTTTAGTGTAATTGCATCAGTGTGTTAAACATGAATACACAAAGTAAGACAGTGACATTGTACAGAAAATAAAAGGTAATTTTTTGTCAATTTCTTTCAAATAAACTGACAGTGAGCACACACAAATGTCTTCATTTTTTTTCTTCTTCAGTTTCAATCTTTCATCGATTGTTTTTATCATATTACTGTGATTATAAAGTCTGTGTCATAAAAAAAGAAAGATACCAGAAAATGATCCAAGTTTAAAATTTGACCAAGAGAAAGTTTGTTTGTTTTCTTCTGCCAGCCTTATACACTCTTTGTCTTGTGTAAATCTGACCTATTGACATTTGAACTCAGTTTGACCCTTGACCCAGGTCATGGAGGTGTTGTTATGAAAAAGGGAGAGACAGAATTCAAATCCAATCTCCTCTTCTCCAAGTCAAGGGTCCAACTACACACCATTTCATCTTGAATAATGCATGGAATAGACAAAAGGTTGTTCCATCTCCTCTGTGGACTTTATCAGAGTTTTCAGGGCTGAAACTTGGATCATTTTCCTTTTCCTCTTCAAATTTTTACTTTGAAACGGGCAGTAGATACTCATTGTGCTGTGCAGAGCATTCTAATGTACACACATCACACTAGGTATTGCACATCATCATAGTCATAAAAAAACTGTCAAATATTCTCATCGTTTGCCGTAACTCCATCACATTGCTGATTATGCTATCCCGAACAGGGATATATACAACACGAAATAGGCATGATATGCAAATAGAGAAAGAAACGTGTCGATACACATAAATGATCTGAGAGAAGTACATGTTAATTACACTACTACTCTGAGCAGAATATCCATTCTGCATGAATTAATTATTCATAATCAATCTCAAATTCTTAAAAATATACAAGTTGCAGTATTGGTTGTATGTCATGGTATTCGCACACTGCACAACAGTGGCATATATGAAAAAATGTACGTATCAATTATTTGTCATCGCATTTAGAATAAAAGCTCACACGTCTCAGTCGATTCACTTTACACAAGTCATACTCCTCCTCTCACGCTGTCACTTTAATATAAGCATCGTTAATTCATAGAAAAAGCAATAATGAACGACTTAAAGCTACTCATTGTGGTGCAAGTATCAAAGACAGGTGAACCAAAAAGTTAAGCTTCTGACTCAAAGCCATTCCACCATGGGGCTGCTACAGCTACAGTGTACCTAATTCTAATAATATCATTACGTGCGAGGATGCCTAGCCTGGATACCATTGTGATGTCATCCACATGGACTCTCTACGGTTAGAGGCCATACAAGGATGCCAGTCAGTTTCTGATCAAGACCTAACATCTCTCCAGGTTCCATCCAAAACAGAAGCATCATTCCTATTTAAAAGTTGGCCTCATTAAAGAAAGATGTGGAGGCAAGGATCGAACATTTGTCAGAATAGTTGGATATCGAGATGTGTCTGTTTTGGATGATTCTGCTGTGGAGAGATGCAAGAAAACTATCTCTCCTATGATGTGATGTCAACTGTTCGGTGGTTGGTAATCACCATCATCAAAGAAAGAATTCCCTTGCAAGGGGACACCGTAGTCGATCCCCTTTAACAAGATCTCTCTTTTCATCAACATCCCTGGTCCTGTACATCATTAGGCCCCTAAAGACCACCTGTACACACCCTCCAACAAGTACCCAGTATTGATTTCAATTATTATGAAATCCTCAAATAATCACTTTTATCACATCAGTCACTGTTGTTGATCTTGGTGACACAACATCATGGCTAGCATCCTTGCCTTATCATCTCAAAATTTCTCCTTTCTGTCTCCAAACACCACCAGAAGATGGCATCTTTGCTCCTCAACGGTAACCATCACTCACCACTCCGAGAGTAATCGAATCTGGGTACCTCCTCTAAGATTGACCAAGAGCTCACGTAATGCTTTAACTAACTAAAAAAACTACTAAGGTGTACTTAGGCGAAATTTGTGTGATGCTTAATCTTACAGTACTTTTGTCTGTCAGGAGAAATAAACATCTTATGACTACGAGGAAAGAAAGATTTCCAAGGCGACTAAATTATATGACTCCTTTCCCTCCACACCGTCTACATCTACCGCTTCGGACTAGATCCAACTCTCTTGGAATTCCGTCCAGTGGTCACTGACACTACTTTCTAAGAATGATGCGAGCATCTCGCAACAAGGAATGGGTACTACCCTAATCTGCAGGAGAAGGGGAACAAAATAAAAAGGACCTAGGATATTTGGCGCCGCTCAAACTTGGTTCGTCGTCTCGTCACTCTTCATCGCCGTCAGACGACCCTGCTGATCTCGCTTCTGACCTGCAGCGCCAGCAGCAGCCTCCTGGCTGTTTGGGAGTGCAGGTTCTGTGTTTCGGCGTTTGATCTTGGATTTTGACTTCTTCAGCATTGTAGCCTGGAGAGAAGGATTGAAAGCACACACAGATATAAAGGTAAAGGTTTGCACAGCTGAGAGAGAGAGAGAGGCTAAGAATACACTTTATAGCCTGATTTTCAGGTTAAAAAGGCTTTTCTATAAAGTACTAGAGTACTAAAGTTACAAAGGACTAAACTCTGCTATTAAAGGTTATATTTTAATGGCTTTTCGGTGATAATGAGCCAATGATTATAATATATTACACATACATAATGAATCAACGATTATTATATATTACACATACAAAATGAACCAATGATTATAATATATTACAATAACATATCATAAATCTTGCAGGTTCACCAATGAATTATTACATTGGGCCACACAAGTGATAAGACAGGTAAGCGTCCAATGCCTGCATCTGGTTCTGAATTTGCTTTCGTTTGCATCCAGGACTGTCATATTTTCACACTTTGCAAATTGTGACTATTGTTCTTGATGATACATAACCATACCAATATCGTATGCCCTTTCAATAATGCACTGGTTGTATAAGTTTAACTTTCTTGGATGATTTTAAAAGAAAATATATTAAAAAAAAACCTGAAGAGAAATCAAGAAATCAACTGAATCATTCATGGTTTATCATAGGCAGTCCTTCTCCACCAAGATTGATCCTCTCCTACCCTGTCGGCCCATCTTGACCATTTCTTACCTGCAAGGCTGACCGACAGACCACTACTTGTCCAGCAAGCTGCATCCAGGGTTCTCCATCTACCTGTACCGGCATGTCAGTGTTCATTGTGATCCGGATCTGATGGACAAACAATCAAGAAAAGTGTAAAGAATGGTCAATCAATGCAAGTGAAAAGAATATGATTTTCGCTGTGAAACTCGTAATGTAGTAAGACCTATTTCAGTCACCTGTCTATAAAAATCCATTGGTGTTCCCTTGAAAAGTGATCACCTTTCAGTCTCCTTTGAGCGATCCTTTCAGGTTTGAAAGCACTTCTAGCTCCTAAAGATCCAATTATGATGATCCAATACTAGCTCCAGCGAAACTTGCTTTGGAATTTACTTCAAAGATATAGGGATAGGGGAAGGGTAAGGGTTAGAGTTAAGGGAAGGGTTAGGGGTAGGGTTAGGGGAAGAGTTAGGGGAAGGGTTAGGGGAAAGGTTAAGGGGAGGGTTAGGGTTGCAATCGGGTTTCAAGTTGGACTTACAGTTAGGCTTTGGTACCAAAATAAGTCCACAGACTTAAAGTTTGGAATTAGTTGGTGTTAAAACTGACCGTAGAGCAATATTTGCCATAGCATGTGTCATGCCTGTTTAAAAAAATGACTACCCTCTTTGTTACCCTTGAGTGCTCTTTCTATACAGGGGGGTGTTTCACAAAGACTAAGATCGACTTTAAGTTGGACTTAACTATGGCAGGCCATTCATGCCATTGTTTGCTCTCACCGTGTAGTGGCATTGGTCTCACAAGGGACGTAAAAATCATGGTCACAAATCTACAGAATTTGTTGATAATTCATTATTGAAGGAAAAAATATTTTTGAAAGAATATAGTTGAGATACCAATGATGAGAGCAACCAGTGGCATGAATGGCTGCCATAGTTAAGTCCAACTTAAAGTCGATCTTAGTCTTTGTGAAACACCCCCTGGGTTTGACTGTCCTTGCAGTTCCTCAAGATCCTATTCTTACCGAAGCTCCTTGGGCGAGGCGAACACCTGACCGGAGTCCACTCTGGATCTGACCCATATGGACCACACCCGTCATTCCTACCAGCTCCAGCATCCCGTCGTCATGGCGACACTTGGAGAATGAGTTGTCCTGTCCGTCTATTCCCCAGGCATCTGCACCTGATCCCCAGCTGGAAGGAATGGTGAGTGAAGTCTCTTGTTAATCTCAGTGAGTATGCACATCGAAAAAGTAACATGTTTTTAAATGAATAAGCAAGTACAAATTCCTGTCAGCAAGATGAGTATGTTTTATATATGATAAAAATGACAAGTACAAAGACATATCATTAGCAAGAACAATATATATTCCATATGAAATATACAAATGAGCAAATACAAATTCATTTTATCAGCTAGAACAATATATTTTACAAATAGACTACATACAAGATGTACGGGTATAGCACAATGATAATCACAAGAAGAGTGCAAAACTGTTTAATAGTGTTTGAAAATCTCAAATCAGCGTCAAATGTACTAGGTGTAGAAATAGATGTTCAATTACTATGGATCAGAAAGTGTGTATTGACTGATTGCAAATCCGTGTCAAATTTTCCGGTGTTAAATAATTATATACACATACAATTTCAAAAGTGTGAACTCATATACAGAGTGAAGATGTGTGGAGATACAGTGTGAACTCATCTTTAGTGTGAAGATGAGTGGAGATACAGTGTGAACTCATCTTTAGTGTGAAGATGTGTGGAGATACAGTGCGAACTCATCTTTAGTGTGAAGATGTGTGGAGATACAGTGTGAACTCATCATTACAGTGTGAACATGTGTGGAGATAAAGTGTGAACTCATCTTTAGTGCGAAGATGTGTGGAGATACAGTGTGAACTCATCTTTAGTGTGAAGATGTGTGGAGATACATCTTTCTCATCCAAGATGTGCTTGGCAAGGATTTCTTAACGGTTTGACAAAACGACAGACATGCATGTGCAATGTGCTTATCTGCTCATACAACAATGATGTCGGTTTGCAAAACAAGAATAAATTTCTTGACCTACCTTGATATATTCAAGATGAGAATGCCCTCAAGCGTTGGTAAGTTGACAGCTTTACCATCAACCTCAATCCTGATCTCTTTGTTGAGTTCCTTGCATGAGGTTCTCCTACCTAGCTTCTGCATACCAAGTCTGAAGTACACACTCTTGTTGTGCAATCTAGGAGCAAGGATGCAACAAAGAAATGTTCTCAGGCTGGTATATTATAATCACATACAGTTTCATGGCCAGAGGTTGTATATTTTCAGATAAACACAGTTTATTTTTCTTTTATTTTTACATATATAAAACATTTTCAGTCTGCACACTACCTATTGTGCTAGGTTATATTTCTCCTTTTTATGTATGTATCATGTCTTTAAAAAAGTAAGAAATTAAACAAACACTAACCACAGACTTAACTATCACCACCACCATCACCACCACCTCCACCATCACTTACATCAACACTACCACATCCACCATCCCTTACTTCAACACTACTGTCACCACCACACCCTCCTCCACCACTAGTACCGCCATCATCACCTCCACCACCACCACAACAATCGCCACTACCACCACAACCACCACCATCACCTCCACCACCACCACCACAACAATCGCCACTACCACCACAACCGCCATCATCACCTCCACCACCACCACCACAACCACCACCATCACCTCCACCACCACCACAATAATCAATCACCACTACCACCACCATCACCAATACCATCACCACCACTACTACCACCACTACCACCTCCAACACCACTACCACCACCATCACAACAATCACCACCACAACCACCATCACCACCACCAACACCATCCCACCCACTGACCTGCTATTGAATTTCTCTGGCTTTTCTTCCCTTGCCATATGGAATCCTAGGCACAAGTCGGCGTCAATGCCCAAACTGAAGTAGTTATTCATCACAAACATGTTGGGCATTTCATCATTGCTAGAGCTGCTGTTGGATGAGTTGGATTTGTTGTCTGCGTCGATGTACTTCCCTCCTGGACCTTGTTCGCTCGGCTCGAAGATCACCGTCCATCTACACATAGGAAATAAGAAAAAACATTATTAAATTTCTGAATGGTAAATAACAAAATGAAGCCAAAAAAAAATGGTCCCATTCATTACTGAGAAAAAAGACATTGCGCCAACCAAAAATGAGTATTCAAATTTGTTCATATTCATCCTCTTGTTATGATACCTTTTTTGAATATATGAAAAATATTATTTTGTCAAAAAATGAGAAAGAAGAAAGGCATCAATGATTTCTATATCACTATGATTTATATCACATGTAACTGCATTTCATAAGCATTTACAGATAAAATAACAAAAAGGAAGGGTACTTGTACTTTTTGTATGTTTCATATGGCAATGAGATATGCATCTTTTAGGGGCCAAACAACTCCTGATTTGTAGGTTAAGTTTCTCCACCATGAAAAATATCATTGATACTTCACTCATAAAGAATGCTGATTTTCTGGAAATGCTAGTGACCAGGGGGGTGTTTCACAAAGACCCTATCGTTAAACTTATCTCTAAGTTGGACTTAACAATTATGGAAAGCCATTAGCATCTATGAAAATATTTTGTAACAGTTATTATGAAAAGCATAAAATGTTAATTCAAATCATACATATTTTCTATTATCATGGGAGATTTCATGTTCCTGATGTGGAATTTATGAAAAGTCTAAAATACTTGAATTTTTGCTATTAAATATATTTCATTATAAGGCTTCAAATGGCTCTCCATAATTGTTAAGTCCAACTTAGAGATAAGTTCAACTTAGGATCTTTGTGAAACACCCCCCATGATTAGTACATGTAAGTTAATTCTTTTATACTGACCTGTCTAGTTTGACCTCTTCTGCTTCTAACACACAGTTGAGCATAGCAAACAGGTCTTCTCCTTGCTGGTAACCACCGCCCCACTTCAGAACTCTCGCTAGATCGTTACCTGAAAACGAACAAAATTACAAAAAATGATATCATCGATTCCAAAGAAAACACAACACATGTTAGACAAATGGTAATTCCAGACAAAAATCAGGATTTGAAGGGACAATGATTCTTTTGGTGTGCCTATGCATTGCAAGTGCACAACCAGTAGGTGTCAATTTCCAGAAATACACACATTTTACAGTTTCCCATTTATTAGTTCATGCACCATATAAATTGTTAACAATGATACATGATATCTTTTCTCATTACTTTCTTAGCTTTTCATTATATTTTTTTATTTTTAGTATAGAATATAATCAAGTACAGAAATATTACACAGATATTGACTGGCAGGGGGTGTAATACAACATTCCTTGGACTGCTGAAGTGAGTTATATTTTCCTGAAGCGCGCAGAAAATGTTGATACTGACCTGTTCCCAATGGCAGTATTGCGATGGCGGGAGAGCTACAGACAGATTCCTGGCCGATGTCATCTAGACATTGGAGTACCCAACCTACAGTTCCATCTCCGCCGCAGATGAGGATCCGGTATTCCTTCAAGTGACTGTAAACATGTAGGCTGAAACATAGACAGGTAGAAAACATGAATTACTTAGTACCCTGTATTCCTTTAAGTAACTGTACATACATCGGCTAGAATATAGAAACAGAGAAGAATTAGTCAAAGAATGGCTTGAAGGGTGTAACAGGACAAGTGAAATTTCTCCATCAATTGCTCCCGAAAAATCCAGTGAGTAGGCCTATATACTTACTTTCAAACTGGGGATCATTAGACAGAAAATGGGATGGGGCCTTACTATATACCCCAAAACTTTTAGAATTGGAGAAAGGGGTGGGGCAGTCAATGTGAATCACATAGTGAACTTTGGATGTTATGAGATGCTGCCCAAGTCTGTTGAATTCAGGACTATTAATTGTTGTTGTTTGCCTTTTTTGTGTTTGTCCCTGTCATACAAAATCCTGTATCCTCCACTGGTGGAACCCCTCCCCCTCCTCCCCCCCCCAAAAAAAAAACGAAGGAGCTTGCATGGTCTAGCTTTGACTCACCCAGGTAAGGGTCCTCCCTGGTCCAGATCAAAGACCTGGAGTGGATTGAGCATCTTCTTGAAGCAGTCCATCACCTCGGCTCCTTGGCAACCGCCACTCTTTATGTTGACAAAGACCAGCAACGGGATGGCATCCTCACTAAGTGCCTCAGACTAAAAAAACAAGTAAAACCAATAGTAATACATCATATCAAAAATATGTCTATACACATGTATATACACACTCTCACAAAACAAACAAAAAAGCAAAGCAACAGAGAAGAGAATGAAGTGCTCAAAACATTGCCTTATTAAAAGTCATCACTTTAAAGTTCAATACATGATAATACATTAATTGATACTATCACAATTCTTAATGTTTTCTCTAGTTTGTTTTACAATATTGGTATTAAAAAGGGCAGAAAATCTAATAAACCTCTTAAGGTCAATAATAAATGTACATTTTTTCAAATTATTTTAATTATTATAAATTCTAATATCTCTTTCAGCTTGCTTGTAGTGAAGCTGTAATGCAACAATTGGTATCATTAATGTAACTTTCTATCACAGCTTTCATCAGAAGTACTTTAATGAGAAACTTCAGTTCTCTAAACAATTATCAGAGTACAAGAATTATAAGTTAGATGAATGTTTATACAACATAAGGAACCCAAATACTAAAAGCAAACTGATCTCAGGAATCAGCTAGCAAATACTGCCATCACTGGTAGAGGTGTCGTAGACAAGTGGTTTATACTCTTGACTTGAAATGCAAAGATCATGGGTTTCGATTCTGACATGGCACTAAATTACTTTGGCAAGGCATTAATCTACATTTGCCACTCCATACCCAGGAAGAAAATGGGGACCTGGTAGGATGACAAAAGCCTTTGTGATAGACAGAGCAATATGCCCTCACGGTGACCATATGGTTGGAATACTCCCAAGGGAGAGGAGATGGTGCACATTGTGCGTGAATGAACCCGATGACCAGGATTATAATATATGCAAGGCACTTTGAGACGGCATTTCGTATTAACCGCTATATATAAATCCAGATCATCATCAATATTACTGTACAAGAATTCATATTTGAGCATTAGACTTCATAGAACCCTTTCCAATCTTACATGAATTTCTGGAATGAAGAGAACAGTGAGTGGCCTGTCGTCATACGACTGATCCTTGAGAACATAGAAGGCTTTGATCGCTACTTCAGGGTCTTTGAAACAGACTATTGCTGCTCCTGTAGTAGTGGAAATAAATGATAAGATAGATACAATGATAAAAGTGGTGTTCATGCAGTGATATCAGATACTCAATAAGCCCGAGAATGGAGCCTGAATTCATGCAAAAACTTTTAAAATGGTAGCATTGAAAAACGCTGCTTCTGTACCGATCGGAAAGAAATGTTATGATAGATATATTGTTAGATTGCTGTTTCAGGGTCTTTAAAACAGACTACTGTAGATCCTTTATATATATATATATATATATAAAATAAAAGTTCAATGACAGATAGGATGTTCCAAAATCAATAATATATATTCTATTCACAGTCCTGTTGTTCATGTAATATTCATACTTTATATGATAATGAGAAAGCTATATATCAATATGAATCATTTTCTCTTTAGCTCTGACAAAAAAAAAAAAAAAAAAAAAAATGTTTTCGGTTCATGTAAGTAGATCGAATCGATTATCAAGAGTCTTGGGTTGGATTTGCAGTTTACAACACTGAAAGGGTTAAATGTATTAGAAATATAGATTCTCTTTATTCATATGAGTTTCTTTAAAATATGGTTAACATCTATACAGTAAACACTAGTCATGTTTGGGAATGCATAATCATGACATGTGTCACTCAATTCTCTTTCAAAAAACTAAAAAACTTCAATCAATTCTCTAATGGACATTGCCCCAGACAAAATACACATGAATATGTGAATCGATTATAATATTTTCTTTTCAGCAAACATATCAAGATTCAAATGAGGAGGTAGAAGAACACTCACCATATTGCTCGTATACATTGTTCACTGCATTGAAGACCTTGCAATTGGCTATAATAACAGATCAAACAGAAAGAGAGCAAAATAAATGCAAGTTTTCATTGATTCATCATTATTGTAAAACCATTCAGCACTAAAATAATGAATGAACACAAATAACCCAGGACCGAGGTTTACAAATCAAAAGTATAAGTTCCGCAGGCAGAGTAACATAGCTAGTACATAATATAGATTTATTACTTAGGTACATATGCAAACAAAACAATAACACTGAATACACAAATGGCAGATGGTCCTTAACACTAAGACATACAAATCACTTGATGATAAGTGGCTCTTATACAATGAAATGAGTGACTGTGTAATCGGCTCTTGAAACTAATATCAATCAATCAGTGACCAAATGGCTACCAACTAAAACATTGCACATGAAGTCAACCAGTTTTTTTTTTTTTAAACTGTTAATTAGTGCATAGAACCACATATTAGTTGCAGCTAGCATAACACCAAACACAATGGAATTTGTAATTATGTGGCTCAGAATGATATTAACGTAAATATACTGTCTGCCAAAAGGCAGAACAGTATATATTCATATATTTAACACTGTGTTAACTCATGGCTGTCTCTCAGCTCATGATACAGTGTTTTTTCCCTTTCTTTACTGCATTTGCAATGGAACTCTAATGTCTGTATCATACATGAACAACAAAACCTGAATCTTGAATCTTGACTTTGAACACCAGTCAAAGGTAGGTAGCCCTTAACAGTAACATTGAATATAAAAACAGCCTGTAGTATCAAATAGCTATTAACTCTAACCTCAACATTGATAACAGTTCATGGTGAGAAGCCCATAACACTAACACTAGACAAAAATCAGGTACTGGTAGATGGCTTGTAACACTAACCCCACACAGAATCATTGGGTGGTGAATAACCTTTAACACTAACACCAACATTTTATCAATCAGAGTTATACTGGACTTGTTCAAACATGTTCCTGATTATGAGTGTATTAACACTAACACCAATAGACATTTTCAACCTCTGGTAAAAAGCCATAACGCTAAGACTGAACATAACATAATCCAATGTAAAGTAGCCCTTAACACCGATACCTAACATCGGTGTTATACTAACCTTCTTCTAGCAAGTTCCTGATGATGAGTATGTTAACACTTACACCACAAGACATATTCAACCACTGGTAAAAAGCCATAAGGCTAACACTGAACTAACATAATCCAGTGGTAAGCAGCCCTTAGCACTAACACCAAACATCGGTGTTATACTGACCTTCTTCTAGCAGGTTCCTGGTGATGAGTATGTTAACACTTACACCACAAGACATATTCAACCTCTGGTAAAGAGCCCTAACGCTAACACTGGACATAACATAATCAAGTGGTAAGCAGCCCTTAACACTAACACCAAACATCAGTGTTATACTGACCTTCTTCTAGCAGGTTCCTGATGATGAGTATGTTAACACTTACACCACAAGACATATTCAACCACTGGTAAAAAGCCATAAGGCTAACACTAAACATAACATAATCCAATGTAAAGTAGCCCTTAACACTAACACCAAACATCGGTGTTATACTAACCTTCTTCTAGCAGGTTCCTGATGATGTGTGCATACTTGTGCTCTGAGAGATTGATGGGAAGGTTCCCAACAAACATCTGAGCTCCTTGATGACATGCACACTTGTCCTTCTTGTGAAGGTAGTATCGTGTCTTCTGCATTCTCCGTAGAGAGTTCTGTAACAATAAAAAACAACCAGGATTACTTTACGTTTGAAGAAGTAAGCAAGAAAAGAGTATTAAAGAGTATTCCTATTTTTATGTTGGACATATCTTGCACACTTGTACATAAATGTGTTTTAAATAAAATACATTCTATTTCTCATTGTCCATTTTCCTCTCTCAGTTATTTTTGTTGTTGCATCATCTGACTTTTATTCACTACAAGTGTGTTATTCATCATTAAGCTGTGATTCTAGATTGAACTGAAAAATCAATAAAATCGATCAAATGATGATGATTTATGTATTTGTAATGTTTCAGTACTTCTATACATCCCAACAATTCATTTCATATTTGTATGCATCACACAGGAGTATACATGAACATGACTTTGTTAGATGATATAGTTATCAAAATGTTGACTATCAAAATCAAACCTTGTTATTGAACCCACCTTGCGTGCTTTGAGAAGTTGAGTCCATGGACACTCATCTCGCTCCATGGCTCTCTCTTGTAACTCATGATCCATGATCATCTCAACTAAAGAGTACTGAACAGGTTCTTCATCCTACATACAAATCAATAATGGATACAGAAGATTAGGCACTGGTTAAAATGGGTGTTTTTGAAGGAATTGTGACACAGTGGCATAGCAACATCAGTTGTTAAACAAGTTGTCCAATCTACATAAATTCAGTTGTATTTCTCATATAATAAAGGGTCTTTCCGTGCGCTTTTATTCATGTTCTAAACAGGTTCTTCATCAACACGCAAAGCAAGAAAAAGGGAAGAATTAATTGTAGTAGTTAAAAATAAGTGACTTTTCAAGAGAACGTGAACATTTGGTCTAGTAATCATATATACATCGACTAACATATACATGTAGTTCAATCTCAAACATTTCACTGCAAAGTTTCAGTCACATACTGAATAAGTTCTTTACCATACACACACAAATCAATGAGGGGAGAAAAACTACACTGGCTGAATTTTCTATGAAATAAAAAAATGTTAATGTAAATAATAAGAAAAATAAATGAACATAAATAACAATGTGAATTATATATATTTTGCATTAATTTTTGTTTAAAGAGAGAAATATGAATATGCATACCTCAAGGCCAAATTTATGCAAGGACATGTCAATGATCTCCTCCACTGAAATATAGCTGGTGATTGAGATGGATGTAAACTCAACAGGCACTCTGTAAGAATGAGTAAAAAAACATTTAAACATTTAAAACATTTTACTGTTCAAATATGGTTGTCTGCATTACACTACTGTTTCATTGCCCAGGATAATTATATGATATAGAGTTTCAACCTTAAAGAACCAAATTTAAAAGACAAATGTATAAAACAAAAAATTGCACACAATGCAGACAAAATAAAAGTGCAATATTTAGAGTAAACATACTACCTACAATTAAATTCCTTTTCAGTATCATTTTGAAATATCCAATGCTATACTGTCATGCAAACAGAATTATGCATTGGGTTATGCTAATATGTTCAAGCATGTGAAAATCTATTTGTTGGCGTATTGTTTACTTACGGAGCATCTAAGTTGCCAGGATACACTTTGATGATCCCCTTCTTTGCATCACCTCCCTGGAAAGGAACAAGAGAAAGAATGATGGAAAATTAGCAATTTTGATGAGATCTACAGGAGTTCACTTCAATGGGATGAGGCTCCCCTGGGTAAATTACATGTATTATGTGTGAGGAGCAATGGCTCAGTGGTAGAGCAGTGGTCTCGTAACTGGGAGGTCCCAGGTTCGAAACCAATTCAATGCACTAGTGCCCATTGGTAAGGACTTTGAACTGTCGGTCCCCTGGCTGCTTGCTTAAAAGCAAACAAATGCTTCCTTAGCAGTCAGGTATAACAACCAAACCAACAAACCTTCAACAATCATTATTATTAATTTGATTCAGTTCAATCCAATTCTATTCACGTGATAGACTAATCTTTGAAGTCTGATAATGACAGAAAATGAAATTTCCTATATTCATGTATATGTACGTTTAAACTCAATATTCAAGGCTACAAATGATATACAAATTTTATTCAACAAAATCTTGAGATTATTTATAACTGAAAATTCTTTGTTTCTTACCTGGTATTTGAGAATGAATGATGGAATCTTCGTAGGGTGGTGTTTACACAGTTGATGAACAGTCTCACTGTCTTTGGGTCTTCTCTCCACAGTCTGGGAACCTATACAAAGTCACATAATCAACAAATATATAATTAAAGCCCCACTGCACTACTTATAGCTACTTGCACCCTCTATATAGCAAACAATGCCTATTCGGTGACCATTGGTCCCCCATGGTCCCTTTTTTCTTACGTTAATTTAGAGCTGATTTGATGAGATAATCACCTGTCAGTGACCATACAGGGAGGACTAATCCCTCCTGGCCAAACTAGTGCAGATAGGCTTTAAGATTTTTTTTTTCTTTCTGTCAGAATAGTGATAAACTTCTTGCTAATTCTATAAATGAAGAACGAAAGTTTGTTAGAAAAGAGAATGGTGGTAATTTTGATGAGCTTTTTTTCAGTGGATATAGACAGAACAGGGTGGGTTTATAGCAAACGACTTAAACGACTTAACAGGTACTTACTATAACACAACAATCAATGCCTGTGTAACCATACTGGTCTGACTGGCTCCACAATATTACATACTAGTCTGATTTTGTTAGAACAGCTAGAACATATATAATGGAAGCGTGCTTTGTGCATTATGTGAAAAGGATATCATGAAAGGCATAATGAGAATATGTTCACCTAACAGCTACATGTATTGTGAGAAAAGGAAGCTTGTTTAAGGAAATTAATATTCCAGGAATCTTCTTTTATTCAAGGTCAATACTTGATTCATAACTAATACATCAGGTTGTCAAATGACAATCCACTTTTCTATCTCCATTTGGAAACATGCTCTTGAATCCAAACTAAAACAAAAGGCAACAGTTTGTGGTTTGACTATAACACTTTTGACCGATATCACTATTCTAATATTAGACCAGAAGCAAGAGCAGGAAGAGGGAAAAGATCACCACAACTCATATCTGTAACATTACAACATAATGTTTGGCACAAAGGGAGGAAAAAGGGTATTACAATCATCAAATGTGGAAACATAATGAAACTGTTTCACCACACAATTCAGAAATTCTTGAACTTTGAAATATAACTTTGATCCAAACTAGAACATAAGGCAACAGTTTGTGGTTTGTGACTTAAAGGTAAAGACCAGTATTGGAAACGCCCCAATTTCAAAAAAATGAAATGGAAGCTCTCATTACCAATCATGTGAAAGAATATGTTTTGACTAATACATGATGATACAAAATTTGCCGGGAAACCGCCTACTAATTCATATATTTGGTAAATTTGTTTCTCTCATGGTCTGTGAGAGATATAGGGTAGTCCCATATACATCTTTCTGTGTATAGTGCTTGTAACTTTACGAAGAATGGGCCAAATTTCTTATCATTTTGATGATTCCAGAACCTTGCAGATGCTAGATGCTAGATGATCAACCTTTTCTGATTGATTCCACAACGTTTCTTTCACAATGCAATCGCATGACCATAACTGGTCTTTATCTTTAAACACTTGTGACCGATATCACTATTCTAATATTAGACCAGAAGCAAGAGCAGGAAGAGGGAAAAGATCACCACAACTCATATCTGTAACATTACAACATAATGTTTGGCACAAAGGGAGGAAAAAGGGTATTACAATCATCAAATGTGGAAACATAATGAAACTGTTTCACCACACAATTCAGAAATTCTTGAACTTTGAAATATAACTTTGATCCAAACTAGAACATAAGGCAACAGTTTGTGGTTTGTGACTTAAAGGTAAAGACCAGTATTGGAAACGCCCCAATTTCAAAAAAATGAAATGGAAGCTCTCATTACCAATCATGTGAAAGAATATGTTTTGACTAATACATGATGATACAAAATTTGCCGGGAAACCGCCTACTAATTCATATATTTGGTAAATTTGTTTCTCTCATGGTCTGTGAGAGATATAGGGTAGTCCCATATACATCTTTCTGTGTATAGTGCTTGTAACTTTACGAAGAATGGGCCAAATTTCTTATCATTTTGATGATTCCAGAACCTTGCAGATGCTAGATGCTAGATGATCAACCTTTTCTGATTGATTCCACAACGTTTCTTTCACAATGCAATCGCATGACCATAACTGGTCTTTATCTTTAAACACTTGTGACCGATATCACTATTCTAATATTAGACCAGGTGCAAGAGCAGGGAGATGTAATAGTTCACCACAACTCATACATGTATCTGTAACATTACAGTATAGTGTTTGGCACAAAAGGAGGAAGAAAGGTATCAAAATCATCAAATGTGAAAACATAATGAAAGTGTTTCACAACACAATCCGGCAATTCCTAAACTTTGAAATAAAGCTTCTAACCATGCATTTCCCCTGAGATTAATTGATATTTTTGGAAGAACAATACCAGTGTTGCCAATTTAATGAATTAAAGCTGATCAAGTTAGCCAAATAATAGACTCTACCTTGAGGGGCTTAATAAATATACAAGGTATACTTCAACGGAATCAAGAGGGGGTGGGGTAGGGGTATGAGGGGTGGGGCAGAAAGCACATGAGGGGTGGGGGATAACAAAGTATGAGGAGGTGGGGCCAGGGGTGGGGGGGGGGGGTGCAGACTAAGGAGATGAAGAAAAAATAATAAGTGTGTGTGCTATTTACCATGTTTACCTGATTCTGCTACTTCTGTGAGGTAATATTGAGCAGCATTGTCAGCAATGTAGAATGACCTCATTGCCGTTTCCTGAAGATTAAAAAAAAATAAAAAATAAATGTGGTGTGATATAAAAGACTTCTGGAAATGACCACAACTCATGGTGTATCCTGGTACATGGAGAAGAAATCCTGTTCTTCATTAACATACAAATTGACAAAGTGATCTACAACATGACATTCATAAAATGCTGAACTCATTACAAGTACAAGCGTCGTTTTATACACTCTTATGTAAATGTACATATACAGTAGGTGTACAAAACATAGTTAATACAAACTTGCTCTTAAAAAGATATCAGTGTCGCCAAAGAGCCAGAATCCCTGTTAATTTATATTATAATCATTTACAAGCATCAAACTTCAAATTTAATCATCATCTAGAAAAACTAGGCATCATTTCATGACACAGATCCCGTAGAGACATTTTTTTGTCCAGTTGAGCTATGAAACAAAACATATCAAATTAAAATTTGACTTTCAAAAGTTCATTTATGACAATTGACTATTAATCTGGTGACCCAAGAGGGATAATAATACACCAAGGGGTTGCCAATTTGAGAATAATGTATACAGAAGGAGATGATCTTACTGTCAGCTGTTTCATGGTGGTATCCTTGGCAACACAGATGAGATGATACGACCCCTTCTCTAAGGAGGCTGGTCCGTCAAACAGTCGCACTAAATGACCATCTGAAAGAGAGAAGGAAATGGTACAGGCTTGGACGAGTTTTAACTCGAAAGGTTGCGATGCTGCTACCTACCACTTTGTATGTCATGGGAAATAGGTATGATAATATACATGCTTAATGGAGATACTGGAATGTTTCATAAGAGAGCGTGAATGGTTGAATTATGACTAGTGATGGAACCATTTCTTCTATTGATTCCTTAGAGATTATTGACTCAACAGGAAGATAGAACAGCCTCTGATCGAAACCTTCTATACTAATATTATACTTAGTGTGGTGATATCTCGTCACACAAATAACTTTGTCTACGATGGATAGGGATTAATATTACAAACGTATTTGCATATCAATTTTACTGAAAGAGAAAATGAAATGGTACAGGCTTGGATAAATTCTAAATAAACACGAAAAGTCTGGGAATCCTGCTCATTTCGATTTAAAAAAAAAAAGATCTATGCGAATCATTTGGTCGATACAGACATACAGTTATTCTCTTTTTGTTAAGTCTAGGATTTGTTGTTACTTTTGTATTACTTTAAGATTTCCTACTAAAAATCTGTGAGCTATGTCATATAACCAGGAAATAACTAACAATCATCTCCAATATCAATCCCATGTGCTAACATAATAACAACCACTAAATCATTTGGTCGATACAGACATACAGTTATTCTCTTTTATGACAAGTTCAGATTTTTTTTTGAGAATCAAACCTACCTTCTGAACCATATTCCTCCTTGAGTCTAAGATCAGAGTTTCCATCTTGTGCAGATGAACCTATAAAGTCTGTTTAGAACAAACAGAATACACATATATTTACATTTAATGACATGGACCATACATTCATTTCTGTGTTGGTGATTACGATAGATCTGAACAAATGAGCATGGTGCGCCAGAACCATTTTTTCTTCTTCAGTACAAACATCTTTAAAGAATTATATGTATCTGTCTTTAAAGATATTATTCTACTGTCAAGTGTCATTACTATGTTTGACTGACAATACAGAGATTTAAAAAACAGGCTATTTTTCAGAGAATAGAGAAAATGTTCTCCTCTCAATCAGTATCTTCTATTCTAAATCATGCTGTCATTAAAAATGAACTATAGACTGTTTTGTATTAAGTTTTTTTTAATAGTTCATTCTTATCCCCTAAAAAATATGCCAGAATGAGTATCAGGTTAACTTGAGTCCTATAAATAAGATTGAATTTAAATTATTCATCTCACAATGTTCAATAAACACTGAAACGTAATTCACATACAAATCAACTTCATTCCAAAGAACTTTATAGAAAATTTGTAATTGCTGATAACATGTACCAGTAAGTATTACAATATTGCACATCTCAATTAACTTTTCAGTGCATGAATTATTTTGTAATTCAAATCATAATTACTTGTTCAAATAACCCTATTACAAATTCACTACATAGCTACTCAACAATTTAGCAAACATTTAGCTCATAAACATATTCATTTGTAAAAAAAAAAAATGCAATTACTAGAATATTTCATAAATTATATGAACTGATAAATGTTTTGCATATCAAGGATTAAATCAAATTAGGAAATTACACAGAAATTATTGATGGTATGAAAAAGAAAAAAGGTTAATGGTTAAGAAACAAGAATAGTATGCAATTGTTATACTTTTTATGAAAGTGAAAAACAACATAATACCGTGATTTTCACCCTTTAATTCAATAAATTAATCAACAAAATATATCACTGTGAAAATGAATACCACATTATTTTTCCTGAACGACAATGTAAAATATAAGAAGAAATATTATCAAAACAAAGTGATATTGTGAGCTTTTTAGTGATTATGAAAGAGTAACATATCGTATTCCCCGCTTGACAGTCCCATATATCCCAATTCATCGCAGGTTAATATTAGCCTGTCAGGGTCCCCTTGCTCCCCTGACCTTCTCAGACATCTTTTAGTGTTTCATTATTCTCTCTATATTTCTATTAAACATGTCTAAAGGCTGTCGTAAGCCTTATGACTGGACAAAGACTAGATCTTCAAAGAAAATTTTACAATTTCTTCCTCGGCCCTAATGGTATACAAATGGAAATATTGAAAGCAGAGGGTTTTAAGCCTTCAAATTTAAGATCAGGCCCATATCAGCTAAAATTTGATGGGTAATTATTTAACTGCATGATGACACTTCAACCTGCGGCCAATTCAGGCTTTCAGGCCAGGGGCTTAGAATACCTTGCACTTGCAATTTTACTTTGGATATCACTATTTGGGAAGGGGGAAGGTATTATGTTTCAAAACTTCACATATTCTTCTAATATTATTTCTGTTATAATCTAATATAGTCCTCTTGTAAGGTTTACCTTGAATTGTTTAATGTTTGCTCTATCTTTCTTTTCTTTCAAATGCATTCTCGTTATGTTCTTCTTAACGGTTGCATGAATCATATCATACGTACATTTGGAATAATAAAATCATTTGATTATAACTAAAATGAAAATACATGATAACATTCAATATCTTTTGAAATGAGCATGTTAAAAATGTATGATGAAAATGGAAAGATAGATTAATAGATAAACCATCAGGAAAAAAAGAACAAAGAAGAAAATCATGAATTTTGGTTAGTAGAATTGCATAATCATCATATTTTCATAAAATTATGCTGCAATACTTAAAATTGTTTCACAGTGTGGAATATAATTTTGTTAATAATTTCAATTTGCTACAAAAATAAAATGAAAAGCATTAGTGTGAAAACAAAAGCAAAAAAAAAGGAAAATGAATCAAAACAAAAACCACAGCATTTGATGAAATTAAATCAATTTTGAGGATTATAAAACACTTGTCACAATTGAACAACAAACACATTTTAAAGCATGGAGCAACTCAAGTGATATGCATAAACAAAATCTTAAAGCAAAATAAAACGACAGTTGGTTTCCACACAATGCATCAAAGTAAACAATAACAAGCGGTAAATGTCAGAAGCTCAAATGGAATGGGAGGAAAAATAAAAAAGAGCAAAAATCGATGGAGGAATATGAGAATGCAAACATAATGTCGGAACAGCTGACATAGAAAACAAACAGACAAAGGAATACAAGGCCATGGAAGGCTAAACAAAAGAAATATTCCACCATGCAAGTATTATGGCAAACCCCGCCCTATCCCCATTTCATTTTCAATGTGCATTCAAACCCTTTGTACATTTAAAAGGAGAAGTGACCGATATGACATTATGCTAAAAATTAAGATGGTAAAACAATGCTACAATATCCAGACTAATAATCAATCATGAGGTCACTAAATAGTTTTCTCATTTTTAGGCTGGATTTAGAAGAGTAACCATGTAAAGTACTAAACTCAAGCTTTGTTTTTTCCTCCCAGGTACCTGTTTGATAAACCTGGGTCAAGGCTGCAAACTGTAAATAAAATGCCCATATTGTAAAATACTATATCCATAAGATGTTCAACTTTGGAAAAATAGCTTTTATGATTGATTTTTTTTTGTAATGATATGTGTAAATTCACATGACATGGATGGATATTATCTAAACATTTGAGGCGATTGGAATTCATTATCTATGAGAATATAGAGAAAAGAAGAGAAAACTTAGCATTTCTTAACATTTCTTTTTTGTAATCTAGATTTTTAGGTTTCTGTAAGTTTTCGTTTTTATTTTTGGTAGGAATCTCCTTGTTGTTAGCGATTTGGGCCGCTCTGGTAAAAGCGCAGTATATAAATAATAATAATAATAATAATAATAATAATAACGCTAAAAGTGAATAATCTATATATATATACACTGCATAACGGTAGTCTGAATCCTGTTCACTGGTAACCTTTTCTTCTGTAAGATAGAATTTCATATTTTGTTGGTCCAAAAGTTCTGAATTGTAAGAGGAAGTTGTCCTTGAATCAGAGGCAACATGTGCACGTAATTCACACTTTGCTTTCAGAAGTAAACAAGGTTAATGGACCTAAATTTAGCACACTGTATTTTCTTTTATTTTGCTTTCCCAAGGCTACTTGCAGATAATATGCAATCAAAATCATATGTGATGCTTTATACTATGTACAGTGTATACTGTTTTTTTTAAATATTCATTTAACAATTGCGTAAAGTAAAGTACCATCAGGGCAATTTAATTCAGAATTGCTTTGTGATTAATGCTGGTAGATTTCATTCCCTTTTCCCCTTGGGAAATGTTAAAAGGAGAAGTGAATGCACATTTTCAAAATGAATACAATTTTGAAATACGTTACACTTTAATGATTTCAACAACAACAAAATGAATTTTGAGCACATAAAATATGGTCTAAATAATAAATAGATGTAGCTAAAGAAATTTGGTTCACTTGGCTTGAGTTTGTCAAAATACAGGCAATGTATTACAGAGGGTGAAAAAGAAGGAAAACAAAAAGAGATTACTTAGAAATGGAAACAAATGCAAAGAATGATTGAAAGACCATGACAAAAATGCAGAGAAATAGAAACATACATGTAAACAATTAAACAGAAAGATGGGTGGACAGTACCGGTATGTAGAAAAACAAATGAAGACAAGGAAAAACACAGAGGTGATTACACAAATAAACAAGAACTGTGCAATGGAACAGGGGGGCTATGAGATCTATAGTGATATGAGCGTTCTCTTCTCCTTTAAAATGGCCGTGCAAGAATGAAACTTAAATGAACGGAAGGAGGATCCGATGAACGAAAGCAGGGATGCATGCTGAAGATCTTAATGTGCGAAAGGGAAGAAGTTTGTAAAGACCTGAACAGATAATTTGAGTGGACAGGGGCCTGCCCCGCACTGCTCCATTCCGCTGAAGTAGGCATGCATCATCATCATCACCATCATCATCACCAACAAACTCAGAGGTGCTTTGGTCCAAACCGGAGTCAGAGGCGGACCGCCGCCCCTGGGTATGGGTGCGGTACGTGGATGCAGAGATGCGGGTAAGAGGGGGGTGGGTCGGGATTGGTGCTATGGTCGGAGTGGGAGGGGGACTATGGTCGGAAATGGAGGTAGGGGAGAGGACCATCATCCCATGAGAACAATAGGATTGTGATGGGTCTTCAGAGATAAAGGGGTCTACAAAGACAGAGTCACCAACACCATTAGTAGGTCTGGGGGTAGTGTCCACATGAGTCATAAGATCTCCTGATACAGAGCTTTGGTTTGAAGATGTAGCCCTTGTTTTTTGGTCTTTGGTCATGGCTGAACTCTGCAAGTTCGTTTGGGGATATAAGCCCTTAGAATCATTCTCAACATGTTTGTACTTATTCAGCAATGGTAGAGCCTGCGAGAGCAATGTTGGTTTGACCGATTGCTCCTCGTCATCTGTTGGCTCAGACAAGTGGGGGTTGGAGAGAGAGGTGGGCTTGGAGGAGGAGAAGAAGACATCGGGAGAGGTCAGCCCTCCGTCAAATGACTTGGATGACTTCATCTTGGAGCCAAAACCCTTTGAGGATGACTGCATGCAGGGAACGGCTGACTTTGGTCTGGGTCCCTTTGTGGGTGAGGAGGACTTGGGCAGATAGAGACTGGGGGATAGGGTACGAGGGGAAGTAGGAGACGACCCCTGAGATTTGCTGGCAGCGTTCAGCTGAGGGAGGTTTAGCTTGGCACGGTGGGTGGGGGATGGGTCCAAGGAACGGGATGGGTTGCTAGAGGACGGTGGGGCCGTGGTGGTGGTGGTGGTGGTGAGAGGAGAGGATATAGCAGGGACTGTACTGAGGGTGAGGGAATCTAGACTATGACGGGCATTTTTTAGATTCTGGAAGTTTTTATTCCTTCGTGCAGTGGCCAACAAATCTGAGGAGAGTGAGAGAAACATGGGGAAGAAAATGTAGACATTCACATAAACAAACATTGAATTAAACACAAGGTAAAAGTGCTTCATCTAAAACATTTCATAATACTACAACTTCATAAGGACCATGACTAATACTTAATTGCATTTGGGTTATATTTTTAAAATAACAATGTGTTGAGATCACTAATAAATATCAGGCCCTACATGAAAAATTAGTTATGCAAGGCTATCCTGTTTCATTAACATTAAGAAAATTATATATCAGTTCCAAAAAACTTTTTTTGGGGGTAGTATCTTGAAGTAAAGTCCCTGAAGTTGAAGTATTTTCACAAAGCAAGACATGTTAAATATGCAAAGACAACAACAAATAATGTGAACGGATCATAAAGGAATTACAAAATATGTGCAATGAGTTTCCACTTAGGGTATTAGAAGCCAGGTACCGGTATGTGCAATTTTCTTTTTCAAAAAATGCAAGAACTACAACTTTCGTTAGTTTTTAGTTTCATTTTTGAAAATTTTGACATTGTTTAATTGAGAATAATAATAATGGGCAATTCAAAAAATTATATTTTTACGATGGAATGAATATAAGGAATTGGGAAAATAGGACAAAACAAGATAGACACCCTTAGATACACAAGGTAAAAACACACAAAGTAATAGAGACGTAGAGAAGGCAAGAAAAATACATGAATAAGAGTGAGAGAGAGAGAGAGAGAGAGAGAGAGAGAGAGAGAGGAGGGGGGGGGGGGGGGGGAGGAGAGAGAGGAGAGAGAGAGAGAGAGAGAGAGAGAGAGAGAGAGAGGAAGGGATGGTACAAGAACTAGTTCTTTATCTCAGTGCACACATGTAATCACTCCATGGCAGTGCACAGACATTTATCTTTTAAAAAAAATTACTTCAAAACTCAAAGAAAGATTTGAGCAAAGACATAATCAAAACCATTAAAATTTAGGAAAAAAAATCAAGCAAAGACAAATAACTTTAATACAAACACCAATACTTGCTATAAGATAAGAAACTTATTTATAAAAAAAAAGAGGCGGAAATCAGAAACACAATTGAAATTCTAGCTCAGAAACCACATGCTCTGCCAGAAAGGCACACAAACATGGAATATCCCCCGTTATACCCTTCTTGCATTCACATATATTACAGGCATAAAATGGAGAATAGTCCATGCAAAATAAAGCTTGTGTGTTATTTGCTCAGAGCCATAAGGACATTAACTCATATTATCTTGAATACAGAGTTTAACTCCCTTTTGGTTCTCAGCGGACCCCCCCCCCCAAAAAAAAAAAAATATATATAATTTTTTTTTTTTAAATCAACAAAAAAATCATGTACCGGTATGCTATGTTGCATTAGTGGGCTGCTAGTGGTCACCTGATAATCATTAAAAGTAGACATCATTTTCAAGATGTGGCACTGAATTGGATGAAACTCAATATCACTATTCATGCTAAGTAATTCAAACAGTTTCATTGTATGTCAAAATGATAAAAAAAATTCTGTAAATTAAACATAATACCAAATACGAGCACTAGATAGTGATACTGTAGGATGAATATAATAGGTGAGGGCAAATTCACAACAGGAATCTTTGTCATTATTTCAAAAAGAATTGGGAGGTTTTGAAAGGAGTTCCTATGATTCATGAATGGAGAACCTGAGATAATATGACTATTCATATATGAAAATATGAATATCAATACGATTTCTGAAGAAAAAAAAAGAAAGAAAAAATTGACAGCATCAGGTGAATACTGGTATCATTACAGGTAAACCCTATGTAAACCCCTATGCAGCTGCTACTGGTATTGACAATTTGGCACTGTGACTGTGAGCAAGAAAGCTACGGGGGACAGTACGCTTGCCCTCTTTACCATTTCTCGGAATCCCTCATTCATTTAAGGCCACTGTCCCATCCTTCTATACCTTCTAATTAAGTTGTGACACCTAGTCTATGTGTATACAAAAAGAAGGCAGCCTACATGTAGAGTATATAAAGCAGGACACGGTATGCAGTCTGTGGGACCACAGGATTGGGATAGCACATACTCTATTCATTTAGTGTAGGATTGTGTTAAGAGGGAGGAGGGGGGGGGGGGGGGGAGGGGGCAGCCAGCAGAACTTTATATAAAGGTGTATCACATTATTTCACCAAATGATATCAATTTGCAATTTGGTGAATAGAATTTCTATCTTCAAAACAAATTGAGTTTCATTTACCATTTTCACCTAACTGAGAAAAAAAAAATTCAATCGTATATTTGACTATTAACAGTTTCACAAAATGAATGCATATGAAGATGAAATGCATGGACGTTAGAAGTATGGGGTGCTGGATTAATGAATTAACAATGATTTAAGTCAACAATTATAATCACTGCATGCTGAATACTGCAAACGCAAGTAATTGTAAAGGGAGGTAGGATTAAAGTTGTTAACGTTTAAGGAAACGCAGGGTAACAATGATAAAAGTTATCTCATCCCATGACCCCCCTTCAAACTAAATATCAAATGTTCAATGTAAATCTCAAAAAACACCCCTCTCTACTGAAACTTGAAAAACATCACCTCCAATGGATTGGTGATTCCATACCGGTATGTACATGTACATGTATGTACAGTATGTATTAACAACCAAGAACAAATAACCAAGTCTTCTAATATGCATTACCAGTTAAAGTTTGAATTGTAAAATCTCAATAAATGCACAAATGGGCAAAGAGCCACAGGTATCACAAATTGAACCTATTCTATTTAACATGAATTGTTGCCAAATTTTGAATAGCATTTGATAATCACAAGCCCCCCCCCCCCCAAAAAAAAACTTTAGGAAGGGTCATCTACATGTACCTAATACACTCATTTAAATGACTTTGTTGTATCACAATCACTCGATAAAATCCCTTTTTTTGTGCCAAAAGTATAAGGTCAAAACATTATGAAAAGATATCAAATCTTCCATTTGTTATGTCTATTTCAAGTGAATGCCTATAAAAAAAAATTGTGCCATTCAAAACTTCAAAAGTGACTTAAAAAGAACTCATCAAATTGTTTAATTCCCTGTTTTAATAAAGAGAGAGGAAAAAGTGTTAATATGATTTAGAGCATTCTTTCATACTTGACAAAGACTCGCTCCGTTTGACTTTGACTTTTAATCGGGATAGGACCGGCGATGAAGTGCTAGACCTGTGGGTCTGTCGCGGTGTGCGTAGCAGCCTCGGATTGGCAGCGGAGAGTGCGGCCTCCCCCACGTCTCTCCTGGCTCCGTTGGGAGTCTGCGGTGTCAGGTGCCGCCGCTGTTGATTTTGCAGGTCAGTTTTAAGAGCTTTGGTTTTGTCAACGTGTTTGAGAAGCATTGGTAAATGATAATGAGAAGTTAATGGAAGAGAGCATGCATGGAAAAATGGGATGGTTGTTGTGATTAACACTCAATAATTAACTATAAATATTAAAGATATCACAAGTTAATAAAAACACTACGCTACAGAGGAAGAAGCCCCTCACACCCTAAAATCTTTCGGGAGAAATCGTTTTGCACGAATATCTTCAAAAGGATCTAAATGTTTTCCTTATATTAGAAGATTATATCTCCAAAATATATTGCAGTTTTGGTATTTAAAGGCCCACTGCACTACTTGTAGCTACTTGCGCCCTCTATATAACAAACCATGCCTAATCGGTGACCATTGGTCCCCCATGATCCTCTTTTTCTTATGTTAACTGAGAGCTGAGTTGACGAGATAACCACCTGTCCAGTGACCTTGCAGAGCGGTCTAATCACTCCTGTAAACTAGTACAGATAAGCTTTAAAGATATTGGATATAATAACTTGTAAACCATATCCCTAAATGCATCAAAATTTTCATATAAATCCAAAAAATACAACTACAGTTTCTTGACATACATGTATGTACTATTTGTACATGAGTAGAAAACTAGTGAATCGTAATAAACTGCAATTATCCCCAATATTAATAGGGCTTAATTAAAACAAAGTTTCTTGTAATAGAATCCATAGTTCCATGGATCAGTTTTAAAAAAATTTTTGTATACAGTAAAATACCAGAAAAAACAAACAAACAACAAGTCTTTCCCTGACAAACACTTATAATATTAAACGATACCGGTAGATGTGAGAAGCTTCTTACAAGTATATCAAAAAGTCTATTAAAAGCAGAGCATAATAATGCCAAATCTACTCACTATTTCCCAAAGAATCAAGATAAAAGTTTTAAAACATCAATTTATGCATTGCGTTAGAAACCATTACGAAGCCTTTAAATTTCACTTCAGTCGACTTTGAATTTGAAAGCAAAACAGCCATCTAGACTAAACCAGGAAATTAACCATAATAACTAAGCATTCAAAATTGGGGCAAAAGACAAATAAAAAATGAAACTACATGTATCACAGAGTCATATTTCTGTTTATTAAACATTTAAATAGAAAAATGTTATCATAGAAACTGATTTTTAAAGGATTGAAAGCTCCTTTGAGGGCAAGTTTAAAGAGAAGATTGGGTTTTGGTAAAGATAAACAATAATTTGTTACTTTTCACATTCTTGTTATTCCCATATGACGGAATATTTTGGTTGCAATATGTATAACCAACAAAAGGATTGCATTTGAAATATCTTCATAATCCTAATAGGACAAGAATAACAATTTCACTGCATGTGATTTACAGCATTTTGATGATCCAAAAACCTCACGATACAAACTTAGTTCCAAGTACTGCATCGACCTTACGGAACAACTTCTAGACAGTTTCTCCTGCAATGCAATGGCACGATCAGTACTGAACTTTATCTTTAAAACGAAATTCTATTCTATGCTATTCTTCACTTCAATTTGCACACAGTGGGCTCTATGGAGGGATAGGGCAGACAACTACTTTGACGGTTAATTTGATAACAGCTGTTGGTAGAGGTAAGAGGTGTGAGATCTAGCACACATTCTAACGCTACAGGGTTAAGACCAGAACTGATAAAAAGAGGGCCCACAGCTCCTAAGGTCGCTCAGCATTATCATTACGGCATGCATGGAAAAAAAGCAAAGCTGCATGCACAGCAGTAGGTAGAATGTGAAGTGATACTGAGAAGCAGGATCAAGTATATTTAAAATCATGCTAAATTTATAGACAAGGGATAATTTTGAGTAAAATTGGCTGGTAAAAGAGTGGCAGTAGCATTCATTGGAAACAAGTTTTTCAATTGAGAGGTTAACTATTAAAGAAAAAAGGAAAGGGGGAGGTATTCTGCATTACAAAATAGTTTACAACATAACTAAATCAACTGGACAAAGAGTGAATTGTATACCCACACATCAATAATGCACACCCATTCATATAGTGTATCCAAAAGTGGAACGTTTAGCGGCAAACAGTGCTTAATACAGACTTGAAATATAAAACAAGAAGAACACCATTATATGTGTACAATGTACATGTAGACACTAAATATCTAGCAAGCATGCTACATGTCGGTTTTCAAATGGATACAAATAAAGTGCATCTCCATATTAAAAGAAAATGCAATGGAGGGGTGTTTATAATTGCCAAGACAAAAGTAAGGGATTTCACAATTGGACAGCCACCTTACCTAAACAGTTGTGACGCGACTTCAATGTTTATGAATGCATTGTCAACTTTGAAGTTAACTCTAAACAACGTGGCATCGGGAAGAAAAAAATGTTTAACAGTTGCATCAATCAATACATCTCATTACCAAATTGGCAATGAAATAGAGGGATTAGTGATTGATTAGTACGCACGGTTTTGATTGGACGGTTTCCCAGCCAGCCAGGCGTGTGATTGGTCGGTTTGAATCTCACCTTGTATCCTGGATACAATGTCTCCTTTGACCATGTTCATAGTGACAGGCATTGAGACGGCCCAGGGGGGTATAATAAGCTCACGGATTGGACCCATGTCACACTCCCTCATAAGAGATTTGAAACATCCTGAATGCGCCTGTTAAAGAGAAAAAGAAAACAGAAAATAGGTCAAAGAATGCAAAATGGAAAGATTTATTATCTAAATAATAATAAGTAATCATATATGTCTGACATACCACAAATTCTGAGATATTTTAACCCTAGTTATCAGATTCGTGCATAAAACAACGTGTACCATCTCCACTCCCTGGGGAAGTATTCAAACCATCTACTACCAATAAGGGCACCTGTTAAAGCAAACATCAATTTGAAAAACGGAAAACAAAAACAATAAAGACTCAATCTCTTAACCTTAAATGTTGAATATCAACATAAATGTGAATTATATAATAATGAAAAAAATGGGTCTTGGTCACCCAGGGTAGCCACATCAGTATTAACACTGCTTTTTAAATGGTCCCTACCGTTATTTTTAGTCCAGCAATTGCCAGTACCCATTTACACCTAGATGGAGAAGGGCAAATGATGATACATTTTTTGCCAAAGGACGTTTATGCCGTTAATGCCAGGCTGGGATTCAAACCTTCAACCCTTGGATCGAGAGTAAAGTGAATGAACCCCTATCCCACAACCACTTCACAAAGATAGAAGAATGGAATTTCACAATTTAATAGCCACTATCAACAACACTTTCATCAAGGGTTAAAAAAGGTGGTATAATGACCCCAGGCCTAATTAACAACATCAGATATTTCTACTCCCGGGGAGAGTAATGATAACATCTAGCCACAGTGCATGAGAGCATTAATCACACTTATTTTATAAAGTTTAACAAATAACTTAAAAAAAATATTCATCCCTCTTAAACAGGAAATGCACATGTGAAACTATATTATTGGTAAACATTTTCTTTAAAATATATTATATTAGTTAGTTCCTCTTTTCTCGTGCTATTTCCACTATATTTATCGTTTCATTACATATTTGTTTGTTGTGATATAATTATTTTTGTATTATGTTTTACATGAGAAATAAAAATCAATCAATCAATCAACAACAAAAAAAGAATACTTTAATTACATTTCGGTTTCAATGATAGCTCATTCAGTTCAACAGTCATCACTTTTGTAATACTTCCTTAATCATAGTATGATAACTGAAAGTGAAATTGGACCTATACTTCAAGCTAAGCTATACTTAAAAATTACTGCACCAAACTTTGATTTTCCATCAATTTCTTAGTGCTTATTACTATTGCTTTGGAACAGGAAAACAGGATAGAGATTGAAAGTGTTTGCAGGAAGTAGAGCCAGAATTTAGGGAGAGTGGAAACTTCTGGTTGTGGAGATCGCTTTGAACTTTGCTTGCGCAAATTAATATGTGGATTTTACAGAAACTCAATCGTTTACAGTGGAAAAAGGATGCTTTCATTGATAACAGAGAGAAGGAAGTAAAAACAATTAGCCAGTGCATTTGAAGTAGCCAATTTCATAAAAGCAAATAATGTACAAATAACATGTCACATTGATATTGCAAATGTATGCCACAATTGCTGAGCAAATGTTTGCCATTTATCATGCTCTAAAAAAAAGAATTACTGTGAGTAACATACATGTACCCTAAATTTATTCATAAAAGATTTGTTTTTAAAAATTAATAGTTGATACCTAAGTTCTTTCTATTTGCCCACTATATATGTTTGCCTTTGAATTGAAATTATCGGAATAAATTTGTTGGTTTTTCTTTTCTCTCATACATCACCTGTGACAAAATAGCAATATTTTACATTTCATGTGAAATGAAATCACACAAATAACGCGATATCAGTTACATGTTTTTATGTAACAAATCTCATGCATATGTACATTCTATTCACAGTGTCAGTAATGTTTAACAGATCTATACAGGCGTACAACCTCACTTCAACATTTCCATACGTTTTCAAGCTCTAGCCTCATTTTACTGACAGACTGGCTTGCCCTAAGCCATCAGGTTGATTTAGTATGCAGAATATCTAACAATTCCGAGAAACAAAATTGGGCTACCCCGTAGGTACATGTAGGCTACATGTTCATTTCAATGCGGAGGAAAATGTCTGCAACAGTCTTGGCAACAAAATGATGGATCTTTAAATATTCATGGAATTACTTCAACGTTGACCTAGAAACAATATGAAAATAAGAATGGAATGTGTAAAAATATCCCTTTCCTGCTTCTATTGCCTTTTTGAATAACACCTAAATATGTATGCATGTTGGACCTATTAGTGAAAACATCTACCATAATCAAAAATAATGAATTTACATGTACATAAAAAGATGATATCTCCCTTTAACCCATCACAATTAAAAGAAAGTATTGCATATATATAATTATGCAGCAAGAAAATCAAGGTGATATGAGTACAAATTTGTACATTTTTTTTCTCCTCAAGTGACAAATTGCGATACTTTCCTAAGTCACAACTGCTACATCAAAATCAATAAATCTGTAATTATGACAGAGAAAGAAAAAAATGATCACATAGTGAACCAATAGCTGCATCTAGTTTCATATTTTACATTATGTAAATCAAATCATATCCACAGCTCTTCAAGAAAAGAAAATATCCCAGAATCAAATTGTTTTACTATTCACCAAAAAAAACAATAGCTCATGGATAAGAATTAACACAATTGAACATAACTCATCACCAACAAAACATAAACCAACATTGCAATAAGCCTTGACCCCAAAAAACCAGACTGATAGCTGAGGCGTGCATATCACACACAAACACACACACACACCCAAACACACGCACACACAATCCACGAGGAACCCAGTACACACCACCTTGTACAATCCACACTCTTCTAGCACATCTAATATGCCTCTTACTTAGCCTCATAAGCTGAAACGCAACCCGACTCTCATTTCTCCAGGCAATTTGAGCTAAAAATAGACATGGGGGCCAGATCGCGGAAGCGCACAAGAAACGAACTAAGCGCCATCATCGCAGAAAAGAGGGTCGGGATTGTCAACGAGGAATAAGGGGAGGAGGAGGAGGAGAGGAGGGAGAAGGGAGGTGAGAGAAAAGAGATGGTCTGCTTGTTTGATTTTTTGACATCGATTTTATAGCTGGCATTCATCTTCCAGTACCATTATGATGGGTTGCTATGGAAACCACTCACAAGGTACAGTCTGGGGCTATTTCAAGATGGCTCTCTAAGACTTAATTCATTAAAAGGCAACCTGTTTCTTTTATTTGAAAAAAGGCTTGCATCCTCACATGTGAAACCCTGGGCTGGCAACAATTGAGAGAGCATCACGGCACGAGATTGCCATCCTTTTAACCGAACAATACCAGCACTTACTCTTACTAATATCTACCTCTAATGCATCAGGGTCGACAACGTGTAAAGGGACATGCATGTTGTGCGTGTGAGAGGGAGAGAAATGTCGCTATTGAGGATTTGAAAAAAGAGGGGAAAAAAAAAGAAATTTCACTGTACATGGAATGTATGCTCTATTTCTGAGAAGCATGAAATACAAACAGACTACAAGTTTATACATGGATAGAGACAGCTCTTGAACAAGGGGCATTTTTAGGTGGGGGATATACATGTGCATGTACATGTAAGGGGGTATGCCCCCCCCCCCCTAAAAAAAATTAAAAAAAAAAAAAAATACTGTTGGAATATTTGTCATTGTTATGGGCTATCAATTTTTTTTTTAAATGACGACCCTGATGGAAAATATTGAGAAGATTGTCAAATAAAATATGATAATCAAATCACCTCTTTTGTTTAATTGCTTGAATATTGGAAACGTTCAGCTAACCCATTGGCAAATGAGGTCAAACAATCCCCCTCCCCTTTCTAAATGGTCCGGTGATAAAAAAAAAAAAAAAAAAAAAAAAAAATTAATAACAATAAAGAATGTACTGTTACCCAACACCTTTCCAACTACTGAAAAGTAGAATGTTCACTGAGGTTCCATTCCCTGATCAATCAATCAGTAACAAAAAAAACACTGAAATGTTATCGCTTTGACAAAAGTGATGAAATCAAATGAATACGAAAAGGAACTTACCGTTGCCCAACACCATTCACACTTCATACTAGCCAAACACTCATGGGTTGCACACGACTTCTTGCATACAAGACATCGGCTGTTGGTCGGAAGATTTCCCTCCCGCCAATGGTGATATACTGTGATTTTATCCTGTAATAGACAGCAGGAAAGAAAGGGTAACAATCTTAGTCCAAAGTGTAGATAGAATGAATTATTCAAGAGCACTATGAAATTAAGTTACTCTTTTGGAAGAAAATGAGAACAAGCATAAGATGCAGTTAAGATGAATAATATTCTGAAGGCGTATTTGTGTCCAAAACTATCTATACCAGTACCATTCTGATATTTGGACCTGATAGATATTGCGCACGTGTCGCGTAGTCCCATATACATCTTTCTGTGTACAGTGCTTGTAACTTTACCAAGACTGGGCCAAATTTCTTGTCATTTTGATGATTCCAGAACCTTGCACTACACACCAATATTTAATTGCTAGATGATCAATCTTTTCTGATCGATTCCACAACGTTTCTTTCACAATGCAATCGCATAACCATAACTGGTCTTTATCTTTAAAGGAAATAAATAAGTAAATAATAATTCATATTTTTCATTTCCAATGTTTAACAGACATTCTGAAAACTAGAACTTGATACTGAATTCTGCCTCTTTAGCTTTATATAGAAAATAAAATCTCAGCAATATATCAGCTCAGAATGTTGGTAAGTGCTAAAACAATTCAAATATAAATCTTCAAAAGTAAACCTCAATAGAAAGCAATTCTGTATAAAGTAATATTTACAACAAAACAACAGAATATAAAATATTTGGAAATCAAATTACAAAAAAAAAATCTTATATGATAGATAATTTTGTTGACTTACCAGTTCTTTACTTTCATCATAAGCAATGAAGCGTATGCAGTTGCTCACAACAAAATCTAAACAACCAAGGTGAGTATAGTATTCACAGGCTGAAAGGGCAAGAAAAATTATGAAAAACAGAAAAATTTAAACTTTTGAAAATAACTTGAAGGAATAGACCAGTTCACGGTTAGCACATTACTGCAATGACCCCAAATATCCACAGATCTTCCAAACATGAAGAGGTCCCACTTTGTACATTTTGAAATAATCACTCCTACAGCGATGGAGGTGCTATATAAATAGCCGTTGTTTCCCCTTTTCAAAGAATACTTCAACCTGTGTATCATGGAGTGCACTGCTTGTGCATGAATGAATAATGATTACATAACTTTCATGAGCACGTATCTAGTATTTCGTTTCCGTGTATTTCAAAATTTGTTCTGCAATGACCTTTATCTGCTCATGCTCAGACTGCAACCATGAACTGGCTCATTTGTTAATACCCAAATAAAGAAGAGGTTGAGTATAATCATATTCACCTAAAAAATAACAGTATATTTATTAATTTTTTACATGAATTATCCCTTGTTATGATCTCACCACAATCATCATAATTTAAAAGTTCAACCTAGTACACATGTAATGGTAATCAAATTCAGACAGAGCACAAGCATTAGAGATATAAACAAATTTTATTTCAATATTTGTGGGAAATATACAATGTTACACATATAAGATTGGAACCTGTAGAAGACTAAACCCTCAACCCATTAAATTTGTGAATTTAATTATAATAATAAATAAATTCGTTGGCTCCTTTTAATTTGGCAGTATAAATGTAGTGTTATAGTTTATTAGACAATTTCATTTGCACACCCTTGCACTTTTAAGGTAGCAGTCGAAGTACACTTTGGAAGTTGATTTTCAGTGTGATAATCAATATAAATGTATCCAGCAAATGTATCTTTTGATACAAGACATTATTTTGCTCCTGCGACGATTGTTCCAGGCTTTATTTTGTCAAAGGTATAGGGTTATGGTTACAGTTGTAATTGGGTTTTAGCCTTTTCGATTATTTTAGGGTTAGGGTTAGAGTTGCTGGAGCAGGTGTCTCACAATGATCCAACGAGTTTCATTCAAATTGCCTTTTTGCTACCAGAACTAGATAGCCGTAGAATTGATGTGGTCTATCTAGCGGATACGTCATCAGACTGTTGATCACAAGGTTCGCGGTTTGAGTTCCGCCGTGGCAATTATGTCTTTTGGCAAGACATTAATGTATATTTGCCACTCTCCGCCCAGGTGAAGTAAATGGGTACCCTTTAGGAAGAAATTACTCGAATGAGTTAGCGCTTTCTAATGGAGGGATTGGAGGCTCAACTGATGCCGGGGTAATAATATGATACTTTGTATCAAGTGCAGAATAGTATCTTCTTAAAGAAGCTAAGCTATATAAATGGACCTATTATTTCTATTTTGTTTACTATCTTTGAGCTTACCTTCACAGTGTAGTGACAAGGCATCATCTAATCTCCTCCTACAAACATTGCAGAACTTCTTCCTGAAGTGCCCTGGATCTGACCATGTATGTGGAACAGGATCCTACAAGAAAAGAGGTAAAGAAAAAAATAGGAAACAGAGTGTAAACAATAGTAAACATGGGTACACATATATGTCTGTAAAGAAGAAAAAATCATCTGTATTTACAACAAAAAAAAGTTTCCCCTTATGTCTGAAATACCAGTATAGGTTATTCCACTTGATAATTGCAGAGTAATTTTGGGGAGTTAAATCAATGCAGTGTTTATACCACTTGACAACAACACATCTACAAATGTACAAATGTACAAATAATGATTTTCTAGCAGCTTTTTCCCAAAATATTTCTCATATGTGTCCCCTAATACTATTAAAATAAACAACAAATAGTCTTACATGTAGAAGGGAAACAAAATCCCTTTCAAAATCAAATATAAACAATAACAAACACTTTGTATCCTCAATCTGCATTCCATAATATCCAAATGGTTCCATCATTTGCAATAGAACTACTGTAGCCTCATTATCTAGTTATCACCCACATGTACACAGCTGAAATACCTGCAGAGTGATTGACTTTCGCTGGTAGAATAATTAAGTCGTATGAACTGCACTGGTCGAACAATACTTGACCCTAATGGGGACAACACTAGGCTTATTCACACACAAGAAAAAGTATGATTTGAATCACGATTCCAATTCCAATTCTTTTGGGCCCTTTCACACAGGGGATACAACTTGTAAATACCGGTACCCAGCAAATATAAATGTTTGGAATGGCTATCAATGGCGGTGAGATAAGAAATCTTGTATTACAAGATTTCTTATCTCACTCCCATTTACCTTTTGATAACATGGAGCACATGTTGATCTCTATTTTAACATAGAGCGTACAACAAGTAATCCCTGTTATTTACTCAAAATGTACTTAAGAGTGAGATCTGAATCTCATGTCAAATCAAGATTCATACAGTAGGTAGAATTCACACAAAAAGTCATGAGATTCTGATAGCCATTTAAAACATTTATATTTGCTGGATTTGTGTTTGTCTTTTATTCACCTCATATGCACAAAAAAAAAGATTTGTATTAGAATCTCTCTCCATACATGGACATGGACAGATTTTTTAGTTCACACACGTAAAAGTGAGAAACTGATCAGTTCAAAATTAAAATTTTTGAACATCATCAAAAACTGGTCATATACATGTACATGTAGTACCAAATAATGATGATAATGATAACAATAACAATAACTAAGTGTATGTAGAACAAAATTAGCTATCATTGTTGGTCACTGATTTAGCAACAACATTTTTGGATTCATCTACTCTTTTTGGTTTCTGCATAGACTGCTTTCATAGTTACATATACGTATATACCCGGTATATAACTTTACCACTATCCTCGCAGTTATCAGTGACCAGACCTTCACTAGTCTGTGTATGAACAGCTCTCTTCTACATGTACATGTATGCCTTTCTTAATTGGAATGGCTGGCTAGCGGCCTACTGGCTAGCTAGTTAGTTGGGGGAGAAGTAAGTCAGCCCCCTTTCAACGACTAAATTGGTCAAATGAGTATCATGCTCGGCTTGTTTCCCCTGCATTCCTCCTGTCTCTGTTCATTTCATATGAGAATACACATCTATCTATCGCTCTCGGTGGCTGGTCAAAAATGCTTGGTCCGTCTTTCAAGGCACTCATCGAAACCTAGGAGAGTGGACTTATTCAACAGTAATTTGCAGTGTAGATAATGTTGAAGGGTCTTGAAAATATGATAAAACTTAGAGCATTTATAATCGAAATGTACAATGTACATGAAAAATAGGTCATTTAAAATAGTCCATATTCGATCAGTTGATTAGAAAATGTAAAGTTGAGCGAGGGACAGGCTAGGGCAAGGTTTGTAACAAATTTATCACAAAAATATGGATCTATTTGATATTGAATTTTTTGTATATCTTTATCTACGTTCAGCAGATGTTCAAATCAAAGTAAATGCAAGATCAATTTATCAAACATGAAACATCATATTTTTCTCTGTGTGTTTGTGTAAGGAGAAAAGAAATATAGACAGGTGGGGCAGCAACCTTTCCCAAACCTTTCTCACAAAATGCTTCTACAAATGATGTTGCATTCTGCATTGTAAAACTGAGCACAGAATTGGAATACAAACTGCTTACAGCAGTACATGTACAATGACACTGACCTCTCACACACAAATATGAGCATGACAAAGCAGAAAAAATATAAAGATTTTTCTTTTTTTTTAAAGCAAGGAAAGGGAGTCACACTTGCAACAATTCACAAAAGGCAGTCGTCACTTACATCACACATCACAGTTTATCTACCGTAGTCAAAAGTAAAGGGTACTGGCATAAATTGTGATGCTATTTATGGCTCCACAGCATTCAGGGATGAACTCAATGTTTTTGTTTTCACCATTTTCTTTCTTACACAATCATATCCTGGGAAACATGTCATAGGGCAATCACATGTATGTATGTACATGTAGTAAAGCCTGTCTAAACGTCATTACATCCTTCCTCTACTCTTACTACACCCCCCCCCCCATAAATTGAGAACAATGCTAAATTTACACCACCCTACATTGTACAATGTACATGTGTACTACATAAGCTACATGTACATCATGTACATGTACATGTATATGAATATGGTAGGAATGTAAAATATTACTTCAAAAGAATTAATCATCAACCAATATTTTGTTTATTAGAGGAATACAAATACACCTACATGTAGTGTATACATGTAATAGTGTACATAACTACTTTTCTGATATTGCCATAGCACTTACAGTAGAAGTAAGAACAAACCTTAAAAATTATCTCAATGTTGACTGTACATGTAGATAAGACATGTGGAAATGTTGGCCCTAATTACTAAATCATCTTTTTCGCTTGCATGCACAAAACCCAAAGGCTTCATAAGCCTGTTCATGTGCCATGCATGCAATGAACACGCACCCCCGAACAAGAGGTGGATTTTGAATCCCTTAATTTGGCAATCATCGTTAATGATATGTACAAATGGTTAATTGCCGGGTAGTGTACATGTCTATAGATAACAGTACTTGCTGAGGGGAAGTCAAAAGACACAGAATTCTGAACTAATGCTTTCCACATCGTGTGACGTAGGTCGGTTTGGCTAATATGTAATTGTGACACAAATTTCCATAATTGGGTAAATGAGATGAGGACACATTTTACATACTGTAAGCTTGCAATGTCAGCATCTGCTTTACTACTGTACCGACGTCTTGGTAATGTCGAGAGCCAGAAGGGCATTAATTAATAACACTTTACATGCAGAGTTAACATACTTCTGGCTCTAACTACTAGCCTCTAAGTAAACGATACATGTGTGTCTAACACCAGGTAAAGAGCCATCTACAATGTATCTATCCTCAATATTTATCAAGTTGCTTGGTGTGAAAGAAACAGAGATCGTTGGAAATGTTGTTTGAATCTGGATTTACAACTTACAACAAATTTACAAATTACATGTGTAGGTTTACCTATTTGCAAAACCTGAGACTAATAATAATAATATTTGGTTCTTGTATAGCGCATATATACAACGTCTCTATGCGCTTCCAAAGAGCTTTGGAAATTATTACCCTAGCTTTAGCTCTGGCAGCCGTAATCAACGCTCAGTGCATTTCAAGGAATAATCTACCAGGTACCCATTTACATGTACCTCACCTGGGTCGAATGTGGCAAATGTAGATTAATATCTTGCCAAAGAACATTAGTGCCGCGGCGGGGCTTGAACCGCCAATATCCCAATGGGCACTTCAAACATGGAATTGGTAATGTCCCTCTGATCACTATGACATAACATACAAATGAGACAACTCACTCATTTGTTCCTACACTAATCAATATCACTTCATTCAATTCATGACTGAGAAGTATATTGTTTATATTAACTGACATGTAACAACTTCCTATTCATCATAAACTTTGATAACAGTCCTGGGCAAAGGTCAAAAGGCCATTTTTATAACGTAATCAAATTTAGTGCATGGGTGTTTTTTTTTTAATGTTTTGTTACAATTATTTCATTTGAGTGTTACATACACTGTACAGTATAATTGTATTTCAATAGTGAAAATAAAAAGTTATAATATTCTCCAACCTAGCAATTACAAATGTACATGTAGGCACCTTGCATAATTCTCACAACCGTGATACAAAAAGATATAATACATGTAAGTGAATGTAATACACCAATACCTCATCACTAGGTAAACATGAATAAGTTTGTTTGTTTGTTTGTTTTGTTTTTTTGAAAATGGTCTGTAAGCAAGGAACTGTAACAAGGCAGTAATAGGGACTTTTAGATTTGCATGGATTGCTACGTGCGACGTCCTTTTAAGGCACAGGCAGTCACGTGTGATGTCTTTTTAAGGCACTGACAGTGCCTTAAAAGGACGTCACACGTAGCAGTCCACTATGCCGTCGTGCAAATCTAAAAGTCCCTAATGTCACAGTTTAATTATTTTCTAAAATAAAATAAATAGTAAATTGTACATGTACATGTAATAGTAATAACATTAGAAGTAGGAGTATTAGTAATAGTCATATTTTAAGTAAAGAGTAGTTATTATATTACTACTTGTAATAAAACTACTACTAATATTAAAAACAATAATAACAATAAAACACATTAATCTCCTAATACTATGTTTCTAGGTGCCAGAAGCTAGTGGCAGCAGTGGGATATGAAGTAATGAACCCATACTAACAAAAGTTACAAAACACATGGTAACTTAAACAAGTTCCTATAAAGCCTGCTCATGATTTCATTTAATAATCATCAATTTTCATTGCTTGTCCGATTTCTTAAAAAATACTCCCTGATATTTTTGCTTTCAACCGATTCATCTAACGCTGAAGTATGGATTTTCTCTGCAAAGTGCCATTCTAAAAAAGAAATGTGGTTACATGTAAACTTGTCTTAACATAAAATCATTAAGAAAGGAGATCATAACTTGTGAACTTTTAGAACAAGTGATATAACTGCTACTGTAGTTC